ATTCTGTATTAGTGAATTTTATTGATTTTCAGCTGGATTTGTGCTAAAACAATTTCAACTTTAGCATATCAATTAGTCATTTTATAATTAATTTTTTAAATAATTAATAATATTAATATGAAAAGAAATTTACCAAGACTTGGACTGAAGATATAGCGTCAAGAAAAATTCCAGATAAATTCAAATTTGTTTTATAATTCTTTAAAACTCCAATTTTGTAACTTTCTAAAATTTTGAAATTTCGCATTTTTAATAGCTTCAAAGTCAAATTAATTGTATATAACATCAAATGAACATTTTTTAAAGTTCTGAAGCCATAATTAATGAAAAAAATCAATTCTGTACTAGGGATATAAGGATTTTTCTGATTTATTGCTAGATTTGTGTTAAAAAATTTGAAATTCGTCATTTTGGTATCAGTTCATCATTTTAAAATTAATATTTCAAATAATTGATAACATTATGACAAAAAGAGAGATTTGCCCCAAGATATCGACTGAAAATATAGCATTAAGAAAAATCCCAATTAAATTCAAATTAATTTTATAAAATTTAAATTTCAGATGATAAAAATAATGGGAAATTGATGAACTAAAAAATTATTTAAATGAAATAAGTGATAAATTGATCAAATTAAGTATATTTCAACTACAAAAAATTAATATTTTTAATTTTTTCGGTTTTAAAATTGTCAGTTGATATCATTTTCCATTATTTTTGACGGTGTATTTGATAAACTTAGCATGCTTTAATGAAAGCAAAACTGATTTTTAATTCAATTAAAAAATAATAATGAGTTTATTTGTTTTCTTTTTTATTTTTTTTTTAAGCAGAAATTTAATAGATTCAAGATGTTATATCGTAGCCCTAAGTTATAAATAAAAAGCCTAACATTCTATGTTCAAAAAAAAAAAAATTAAATTTAAACATAGTAAACAGAAAAAATGAAAAAAATTCAGCAAATAATTTATATATTTTTTAAATTCTCTAATTTTTGTGCTTCAATTTTTTTAACGAAAAATTTCACAAAGTTTAAAAAGATTGAAAACGAAAAAAAAGATAAATGAATATAAATTAACAGAAATTCTTCCTAATTTTTCTTCAACTTTTCATCGTTTCTCTTTTTTTTTTTTTTCACATTTTTCTCATCAATTTTTTTCTTAGAATTCAAAAGCAAATTAACAAAATGTTAATACGAGAAATTTTCTCAATTTTTGAAAAAAGAGAGAAAAAAAACTATACGCTAGCATTATTAAGTGAATTCTTTTTTTTTTAACTGAATTTTGTTAAATAGTATTTAATTTAATTTTTAATTAGTAACAAATATTTCAATTTATTTCTTCCTTAATTCTTGAACAAACTTTTTTTGTGGTATTTATAATATTGTAAATGATTTGATTTATATATCATTATGTCTATCGAAGTGTACCATTTGCGCCAATCGTTAAAAATGCTTTGATTGCAATACCAAATATAAATTAACAATACATGAATCCATTTTATTTTCCTAATTTAATAACTTGTTTAAAAAAGAAATTTATTTTCCTTTTCAAAAAAAAAAAAAAAAAAATGTTTACAGTTTAATTTATGATGTTATGGAGCAATGTTATGAGAAATGAGTTATATTAAAAAAGAAGCTTCAAAAAGAGCAAGAAAAAAACGTTTTTTTTTGATAATAAATGACCTGCTGTAGATGAATCTAGCATTTGCACCATCTATCAGTGATGAATAGATTAACATTTGCGCCTATCATTTTTTATTAATATCATTTGCAAAGAATAAGTAATAATACAAATTTAGAAATGAAAATGAAATAAAAATATTTTTATTTATACTTTTTTTTTTTTCATTTTTTCTTTTTATTTCAGATTTTTTATATTTTTTATCAGAAAACATAAGGTTAATTAACACTGATAGCAGTAAAACACATGCAAATTGATATGTTAAATAATAAAACGTTTATTAGTGATTATACATATTAAATTAATTCTCGTATTTCAAACTTTTCACCAATTTTTAGTTAATTAATTTCACACATTGTAATATATTTAATAATAGATGAATTAGAGATTTACAAATTTCCATCGTCCAAAACTGCTTTACATTCATTTTCAAAAAAATACTCAAATACTAAATATTAGTGTTTGATAGTGAATTTTTGTCATTCCTCTGTATAGCTTCAGCAACAACCAATCTATTCTTTTTCCGCCTGTCTGTCATTTTCCGCTCTAAAATAAGCGCTAAAGTATTGAATGTGACAATTCGACATCTTGCATGATCGAAGATAAATTCTTTAGACTAAGCATTTGGTTTGCTTTAAACCTAAAGGTGTAATTTAAATATGCAAAAAAGTTTATTTGATTATTATCAAATTAAGTAAGCTTTGGAATTAGTTATATTTTATGTTGAATTTAACTAAATTTAATAAGTTGGAAAAGGGATACGTTGAAGACAGTGATATAAGAATGAAGTATTTATAACAAAATCATTGGAAGTTCATAAAAATTTTTTTAATTACTAATCAAAAGTAATTAATGTTACTCATTTATAAGAGAGATAGTGATAACAAAATATATATATATATTTTTTAATAAAAGAGAATTCCGACAATGTAGCATAAATCTGTTTGTATCACTAAACACCAACAAAGATTTGTTACAATCTTTGTTTACAATTCAATTGTTACAATTCAACGTTTATTAATACGTAAAAATACGTCATACGTTATTACTAAAACTTTAAAGCTATCATTAAAAAACATTTTTTTTTTCTTTTTTGACTAAATAACTTAAAAAAACTGGTAAAAAAGAAGTTAAAAATAAGTGATAATAAGAAATGATACTAAAAATTGTAAAAATATAAAATTGAAAAAAAAAAAAAAAAACATGGACAATTTCAATTTTTTTTAAATTTAAAACATGATAGAAAACAAAAAAAAAAGTAATTCACGGAAAAAATTTTTAAAATTGTCAAATTAATGAAATAAAAAATTTACAAAGCAAAATTACAAAGAAATACTTTTTTTAACAATAATATTTAATCATATTGCATAGATTAATATTAACTATTTTGCTTTTATTAGTTGTTTATTTTTTAATTTCTAAAATTACAATATTACATTATAATTGATGTAGTAATTATAATTGATTTTATATATATGCTTGTCAATTTTAATATTTTGTAAATTTTAAGTAAGATTTTTTGTTTCAACTTAAATCTTCTAAGTAAAAATGATACATTTAGATAAGTAACTTTGAAAGCGATTAAAAAAAAAAAAAAAAAAAGGAAATACATTTTTTTGTTAAGTTTATGTTTCAGTTTGTTCATTGTGGTCTTTCTCATATTTGAGTAACAACTGTTTCAGTTCATTTAATAAATATTTCCACAAACTGAATCATTCGTAGATCATTTCTTATCGATAGCAATTTTCTTTGTTCATATAATTTACTTACTACAATTTTTGTCAGAAGTGAGAATTTGAAAAAAAAGTAATAAAAGTACTCTAAAAAGAAAAGAAAAAACTTTGCTAAAATCTGTAATTAAATGTTATACCTTATTTGTTAGTATTAAGATGAATTTATATAGTTAATTAATTTATTTTAATTTTTTATTTTTCATTATTTTTTTTTTCACTTACTTATACATAATTTGCAGTAATGTAATATTTATTAAGTTATTTTTGATTAGCTAATAATTGATAGCTTTCATTTACATTTAATAATTGAATTTGATTTTTTCAATATATCAAATTTATCATTTATTTTGTTAATGCAATAAATCAAACAAGCAAAAAGAAAATTCTTTTTAATTGAAAAACAAAAACAACTTTAAAATATTTAAATTCATTAATTCAACAATTTCTAGTAATTAGAAGAGAAGAAATTATGAAATCTAATTATAATTAGATTAGTTAAACTACACAAATTGTAGTAATTAAATTAATTAATTCCGCTTGCATTAAAGTGTTCAGTATTTAGAAGAAAATTTTTTTTCGCAAAACTTGTAATTTACAAATGACAAATTTAAAAAAATATTAGGATAAGCTTTTATCAAGGAATATCTTCTATTAGAATTCAAATAAATTCAAATTTAAATCCTTATGTCTATGCTACGTTTTCATATTAGTCAATGTTTATATTTATTTATCAATTTATCAACTATTCTTTTCAATCAGCAAGTAATTGATTATTTGTGTAATTTATTTCGAGTTATCCATATCACCGATATATGAATGATAAGGTTTCATATGTTAACAGTAGGATGATAAAGTTTTTTTGTAGAAGATATAAAAATTCTCAGTAGAAAATTGTTTTTGCAACTCATTTTAATTATCAGTTTTGAATTGTTATCATTCATTATCCGTAACTTTCTTTTTTTTTTTTTTTTTTTGCCTCTCAAATAAACGTTTTTTGTTTATGAGTTAAGAAAATGTGTCATCCTGGAATGATAAGTAATATTAGCTAACTTAATTTGATAAACATTTATTTTCTTAGACTTTTTCTATAATTTAAGTTGAAGTTTCATTTTCCTTTTTCACTTTTATAAATGTGAAGAAATTAAAGTATTCGTGTTGTTCTCATTCCTACGAATTTTTTCATTCTAATATTTTTTAGTTAAAATTTTTTATTTGTTTAAGAAAATCAAAGTGAGAAAAATGTTCACTTCTGACAGATGGATAATAAGTGTTCAAAATTTTTGAAATTTAAACATTATTGAAATGTATGTGTGTGTTTATCAATAATGAATTAGTGGTTGGAATAAGTGTTACTAAAATTATTATTTATTTATTTTTTTTTTTGTTAAATATGTGCTGTTATTGTTGTTTAATACTAAAATATACTCATTATTTGACATTTTAATTATTTTACAAAACAAAGAAATGATAAGATAGGAAAAGAGAAAAATGAAAGAGAGAGAGAGGGAGAGAGAGGGAGTGTGAAAGAGAGGAAGTGAAGAAATGAAAGAAAAACATATTGAATGAAAATATTTTTAAAGATCAAATGGATGATGAACAGCTGCGCCAACTTATTGCTTCTCTATGTATTTTATCAAAAGAAGGATCTATTCCATGTAAAATTTTTGATTGATATTTCAAAATCATTAATTATAATTTATTTCTTTTTCAATTTCTATTCTCTCATTAATTAATGAATAATTTATCACATAACATATAGATGTTTTAACAACAGAAAAACAAAATAAAAAATTAAAGATTAATAGATAAAGTTTTGAAATAATTTTCGCTTATAATTAATGAGTTCGATTTTTAATGCTTATAGAATAAATAAGCAAATTAGTTTTTGATGTATAATCACAAATGCCTGATCAGATTAAAATATTAAAAATCAAATTTATAATGAGTTTTAAAATTACATATGTGTATAATAAATAGATGTATATTTGCATTTTTGAAATTATAAAATAAGAGTTAGAAATTAGAAATTTTTTACATTGATGTTAGCAAATGATAATTTTTTTTTAATTTCTAAGATATAAGCACTGATTTTTTGTCAGATTTTGATAATTTATTAAATTTTAAATGAAAATATTTTTTTGATAATTTATAAAATTTAAATGAAAATCTTTAAAAAAAAAAAAAAGAGAGAAGAAAATTATTGCAGTGAATACGATCAGTGTATTAGTTAGTTCAGCACCATTCGAAAAATTGGCTTATTATTTACATCAACGTTGGCTATCGGAGGAAAATTTCACAAAAATTGCTGCACATATCATTTTGCAGCATTATCGTGTAATATATTTGTTTAATCATAAAACATAATTTGAAATTATTTTGTGTTTTAAATTAAAAATATCAGAAAAAAAAAACTATCATGAAGCAGAAAAAATTGGTAGGTAGAAGAAGTGTTACAATCATAACATTGTTGATTTTTTTTTATTAAAAATTTATTATCAAATTTTGAAAAAATATTTATTTTTAGATGCATGAGAAAGATTTTGGCTTATTCTCCTGTTGCTTGGCACATATTTTATCGGATTTTCGATCCAGACATCAAATCAGGGAAGGAAATAAACTTGTTTTTAGGTATTCTGTTAATATTATTACCTAATCACTAATTAATGCAGCAACTTACTTTCATTTTTTTTTTTTTTCCTAAGCAAAAGTTAATTGTAGGAATATTGTTCGAGCAATACTAGACTTCTATCCTGTTTATAAAGAAACTGATGCAGCAGTAAGCGAATGTTTGATCGAACCGATGTTTACTTCATTTGAAGATCTAATCAATGATGATTCTGATGAAAAAGATATTAAAGTATATATTGTTTTACTTTATAATTAAGAAAGAAATGAAACTTGCTGCTGTAAATTAAAAAAAGAAAAAAACATTGTCTTTTTACTTTTATCAAAAATTCGCTAAATTTTAGACTGCTGCAGAATTGATCATAGATCACGGCAAAACATTATTAAAGATTAGACCTGGTAAATGTGACAGTTTTATAGTGGCATTACGAATACACCTTTGTGAAGGTGATTTCAAACCTGTAACTCGACGACTGATATTACAGGTTTGTATAATGTATTACATATAATAAGAATAAAGAGGAGACAGTTTTGTGAATGAATTGTCAAAAAAAAAAAAAACTGCACATTATTGTTATTGCACTTTTCACAGTAACGGATTTTTCTTAAATTTCTATAAAAATATATTACAGGAAACAAAAGTTTTAAACAATGTTTGATTAAAATTTGATTAAAATGCCCGCATCAAATATATTTATGAAATATATGCCCTAATTTCAATAAATAATTTGACAATAAACTGAAATAAAAATTTACATTACATTAGCTTTTCAGGCCATTGATTTCTGGACTTATAGATGGGACAGTGAAATAATGCCTTTCTGTATCAAACAATTCTATGAACCATCCATAGAGTTCATCAAAAATCTTAAACAAACATCAAGAATGCCATCAGAAAGCAGAAGAAAAGAAAGTTTTGTATAATTACACATTATTGTAGAAAATAAGACCTCATAATATAAGATTCAAATTTCAGATAATTCATCGGTCATTAATTCCTTAAGCACATACTATTTCTTCAACTATGTATGCGAATAATAAGCCATAATAAAACTTTTGACAAACTTTGAAGAAGCTCCAGGCATTTAAAAAGTTCCCTGACATTATCGAAATTTTTGCTGCTGGTCTACTTTCATAATTACAAAGCTCTAAGATAAAAATGACCTAAGCATTCGAAAAATATATTTAAAAGTAAATATGTAAGGAGCGTTTTGAAATAGAAAAATTCATAAGTTTGAGACTAGTTTTGAGGCCATGAAGTTACATAGACGATCATAACCAAATAATTAATAAACTACATCAATCAAGTTACATCATTGTCCGTAGATTTTCCATAGTATGGGGGTACATTCAGCCATTCGTCGTCAAACTCAATTTTTTCCGTGATTGTACGTAGTATCCTTGATGAGCCGAAGAAATCAGTTACTCGAACTCTCTTAGGATCCTAAATTATATATTTCCAAGTAATATTTATAAATTAATTAAGCTTAATAGAAGTATAAAAAGCAGAAATGGATTAACAAAATTACAAATGTAAGTATATGCAAGACACATGTTTTAAGTAAACTTACCTTGGATAAAAATAAAAATGAGAAACTCAGACTAGTGCTTAGACTAGTACTCTAGATTAGTGACTACAATATTCCTTATGTTAGGAGTCATTAAATGTAATAAATGAAACGGGATAAGTAAAGTACATACTTTCGGATACAAATCCGTACGAACGCCAACTGTTGAAAGACATTTCGACTTTGGACAAGAATTAAAGTAATCAGACATAGATTTGTTTGTCAGTAATGATTTGACCTCATTTTCAAGAAATTCAAGCGTGAATTGTGTATATCGATCTATAATATATACACCAATGGATCTGAAATATCAGTGGAATACCTTCGATTTATTTGGAAAAAATTTCTTTATAGATCTTGCTTACAGAGAACAATTTTTTTTTCTTTACAGAAATAAGAAGAGAAATCAATATATATATTGACAAGTTATATATATATATAACTTGAGGATGAAAAATCGAACTTACTGGTCAACATCATACGAAAGAGAATCTTCGCCTATTAGAGAACTACTTGTTGCAAGCACATTTGGACTATATATTTTCTGGTACATGGATTCACTTTGACATGTGTCTGCTATCACAAGCATTTCATTATATCTGCAATAATAATAAGAAGGGCCTGCAGGTAGTTATTAATATTTATTTGACATAATTTAAAACTGAAATTAAAAGTGAACATTTTTCCTACCAAAACTATTACACAAGGAACCTGATCTATTGTTAAAACATTCTTGATGTTATTTGTTTTTAGCACTTTTAAACAAATATTTTAAGCAAATTTTAGTAAAAAAAAAATGTTCTTAAAAGTGGATTTATTACCTATTGCCTTGATACATAGTTTCAATGGCGTCCGCTAAATCAACGTTTGTTAATTCTTCGGAATCCTGGAACTTCAAAAAGCCATCACCACCATGTCCAGTAAGGTAAATCAGAATGTTACTTTGATGGTCTGAAAGAAGGCGCTTAGAGCGCGGTGTAGCTGGATGAACTCTTCCTGTCATAAGACGCACGAAATTTTCAACTGATACCTGAAATAGTAGACAGAATTTTAAGATACACAAATCACAGATTTTATCCCAGTTGAAAGAATAAAACGGAAAATGCAAGTGAAACTCTGTTTGATACCTCATATCCACGATAGTCCACTTCAACCTCAACACCATACAGATTGATACGTTCATATTTACTGTTGTATACCGTACCTTAAAACATTAGTCTGATATCTCGAAGAAATGACTTACTGCCTAAAATCAAAACGAATGAAACATTAAATTAAAGATGCTAACCAGGTTTCGGATTCCTAGCATTGCATGGCATATCATCAGCTAGCATAAGTATGATATTGCTGGAATGTAAAATATATTTGAAATTACCCTTTAAAAATGGTCTATTTACATGAACCAAATTTCTAGCTCACTGTATCATACATTCTCAGCATTCTCTCTTCTTTTCTAGTTCTTTATCTCACGGGTTCAAATCTAAATTCAAAGAAAGTGCAAATCCTACTTAACATTTTAGTATGTATATTTATACTCAGGACGATCGGTAGGACTCTGAGCACTGCATTCAAAGTGAGACTATAAAGATGTTAAAATGAATCGAAAAAGACTTTTTACTCTTTTATTATAATTCAATTTTGTCGCAAAAATACATATAGTGTAAATACAACATCTCGTTAACAATAAGGAAGAAATGACACGCAAAGAAACGGATAATTTTTTAACCATTCGTTTTGTGCCTTTACATCATTCCGAATTCTTCGAAAATTTTCACGTGTTTAGAAGATACTAACCTATCGGGAATTCCAAGCCTTTTTACGGAATGATATAACGACAGAACATTAGCAACATGACGGTAATTAAACCAAAACCGTGATGTGCAGACCAATACTGCCCAGTTATTGGTATGTCCCGGAGTTTCGAAGAATGACTGCATATGCCTCTGCAAGGCCGTTTGCTGTTCTACTGCAACAACTGCCGAAAGAATAAGAATAATTATCAAGGGTAACATCTGAAAAAGAACCAAAAAAAAAAAAAAAAAAAAAAACTTATTAGAACTTTAAACTTGAATAATTCGAAATCAACTGAATTTAAAAAAAATCTAAAATCTAACACCGAATGTAAGTTCACTCGAATCCACTGTGACGATTGAACCAACTGTGAATAATAATGAATTCAGTTTGCAAATAAACTTTGCAACAAAAGTATTTTGTAAATTAGACTAGTGTTGCCACCAATAAAACGGAAGCAATGTCGATCCCAAATAGAAAGTTATTCATTTCCTTATCATTTTTCAGCTAGGAAAGAAAAAACTTGAAAAGCTTTCACCCTACATAATGTAGTGAATTCCAACTACAAAAACATTCGTATCATTAGAATTCCAAATTCATCTTGAATATATAATAGAACTCCCTTACTGGCTGCTTATAAAATTGGACGGGTATTTTCCGTAAACCAGTATGTTCAGTAGAGATGAAAACGCTGATCAAAAGAAATCAAGCACACATGAAGTCATGAATATATAATAGATCTTTCTTGCTGGTATATTAAGTTATAAATTTTCCTTTTTTACTTCACAAACTAATACAATCCATCCATAACTGCTTTATAACTTTTTACGATGAATATTACTGAAGAACATTTCATCTGTTACTTAGGTGTAAGAATTTTCCGGTCAGCGCGGGTTAAATCACGATACGAAGTTTCTAATTCAAAATGTATCAAATTTTATCAATGCTGATTAATATTTAATTTGCACACAACAATTTTCATAAACGTCACACTGATGGGAAACATTGTACCTCAAGGCTACGAACATGCAAAATTCCAACAGAGCTGCAGAAAAATCCTCTTTGTTGTTCGCCATGTTTTTGAATTTAAAGAAAAAAAATTCGCTTAACTTGGTAACACTCAAAATTTGGAAAGTCTTCTACAATAACACTCTGTTTTAAGTTTAAGAGAACATATAAACAGTTAAGCAAACAAACAATGAAAAAAGAAAACAGAACGAGAATAAAAATTATGAATTACAAAAGTAACAATCAAACCATTCAACCAATACTTTGGATCAATGTAATGTTATCACCTTTTAACATGATTCGACCAACTTTATTGCGATTTTTTGTCTTCATATTCACTTCTTCTGCTTCATCAAGCACAACGTTCATATATTCGTCAAAACCTGAAAAAACAAAACAAAACAGTACTACAATGAAGGTCATATGCTTCTCTTTTTAAAAAATAAATTTTCAAGTCTCAAATCTGCGAAAGATAAAATACTAACTTTAGCAGACAAAGACCATCCGATCACCAAAAAACATATATCTAACATAACTCTATTTTTGTTAAACTTTGTCCACAATAGAACTATTACTGCATACCAGCTCGTAAACATAATGCTAAATGTAATATGTATGTGTAATATTAATATGTGTAAAACATGCATAAGTTTTGCAGTTTGATATGAAAGGATGTTTTGAAATCGCTATCACCTAAGCAACTAGCATATTAACTGTTGCAAAAATTTTTCAAACTTCTCCTACTGCGCCCATTTAAAAAACAGGTATAATCTTATGACTGATATTACATGTTCAAAGAGGAAATTAATCTGAAGCTTAAATAAGAAGCAATGTTAAATATCCCTCAAGCATCTTGGAAAAAGGTGATGAAACAACAATACAAACAATTAAAATATTCTAACGAAAAAGAAAAAAAAAACCAATTAATAAACATAATACCAATGATATATCCTTCGATCCTATGAGTGATATCCTCATACAGCCATATCTGTATGCGTGATCGATTTTGCAAATATCGAAAAATCAAATTAATAGGCTGTACCATCACCTTCTGAACTTTACCACTTCTTGCTGCCATTTTTGTAGCAAAAATATCTTAGCTAAAGGTTAAAGGTTAAGGAGTGCAAGACGAAATAGTCACTGCAAAGTCAATAAGAAGTTTTAGCCCTGAGATAATACTCAACTTTCAAATGATGTCTCTTATTAACGAGTCAAATTTTAACGCTTCCAATGAAAATTTTTCATCCGATTCAATGAATTCATTAGTAGGAGAATGAGGAAATGGGTGCTAATTTATTAGTAATAGTAGATTAGAGATCGGTTGAAGAACAGAGAGAAGAAGAAGGAGAGTGTATTAGTTGTGTGGATTTGAACAATCAATAGAATTTTTTGATTGATAAATAATGCTTTAAAGAAATGTTTGATGTACTTAAAAGTATGATATAGAAAGTAAACAATGAAAAGAACTTAGTGAGAAGAGATAGCATTTAAGAAAAAAAATGAGAGCTAATATATTTTTGTTTATATTCTTATTATTGGTTATAAGCTGTAGGGAATTAATTTTGCACTGGAGTAATTATTTTTATTTAGTTCTTTCATAATGTTTGTGAATTAAGACTAATTTTTGACAGATTTGATTGTTTAGTTCGTAATTTTTAGTAAAGTTCCATTCAAGTAATGATGTTAATTGGATAGATTAAAAAGAATTAGCTCTTTGATTTAGTAAGTGATATATACTTTTGCTCTTGTGAGAGAAATTGCCATCGTTGTTTTTTTTTTTTTTTTTTCTTTTCATGCATCCGCTTCAGAATATAATGTAATCCATTCACTTGTTTTTATTTTTGAATTTCGTTGACAAAGATTTGTTATTGTGAAAACTTCAAGGATGACGATTAATGAAAATAACAATCAGGATGGAAGTATGGCTGCGCTAGATCGTTATGTTGCCCCTGGTTTGCGGCTTTGGATGCTTATTGCTTTGGTATCGGGAATATTACTAATTATGGGTATGTTTTTATTTATGCATACTTGTTTTACTTATTGGTGTATCCGAAGCGATCAAAGTTTTATATTTTGTTATCTGGAGGTGAAAGAGATAAAAAATGACATTATGAATAGTTACCTTAAACAATATGTGTGTACATTTTTTAAAAATATTATTACTGGGAGATGCACTTGAAACAAATGCTATTGTCAATTTAAGTTTTAAATGAAATTTCGTTAAAGTTTGATCTGTACTGTAGATTCCTTACATTCTATTATCTGAATTTTAGTAGTGATCGTTTGTTGCTTCATGCGAATCCGAATACCACGCACTAAGCGACAAATTGATTTAATTGCTGCAAGGAGGAAAATGCGAAAATCAATTCTATCTGCTGAACATTCACCAGGTCATTTATTAATATTATCATATCCAAGAATATTACTTTTTGCAGCTGAATTGCTTTTTGTTTCAAATCTTCTTATGATCTTTGCAAGTGTCGGACTTATGTAGTTATTGGTTTTTATTAAAAACCAATGTTGTATCGATCTTTTGACGACAATAAAATACTCTTTTGAGTAAATGTGGCAGGGCACACAGTAACATTGACCTGGCCTCTTTTAATCAACATCATGTTTATTGGACAGTTATTGATTTCATTTAGAAACATAGATTGACATTCAGTTGCTCAATATTGGCATTCATCGCTCCTTGTATATTTCGAAAATATCTTCTATTTTCAGACGACAGAGCACAGCCAATCGTAATGAATACAGTTAAACAGTCGACTCATCAAAAAGGTAGTAATCGTCGAGAACATGAAGATAATACATCTGAATCCACACCTTTTATGAATAAGGTTTCAACCCACGCTACCACTACCGTTTAAATTTCGTGCTTTCTTTATCTTTTTTTTAGCTTATAGAATCAAGTTCTTTCACTATTTCTGTGCGGACTAGATTTACTCAATTCCAGAATAATTTATATGTCACTATCAGAATTGGTTAAAGGGAAATAATCGAAAGTTATATGCAAGAGTATATTTATTGCATTCAAAATTTTTCAATGCAATATATCCTAGCGCATGCATACCAGATATTTCTATTCGTTATTCCATTCCAAAAAATGCGTAATTTAATTGCCTTTTTTTTAAACTGCTATTTGAATTCTCTTACATTAAATTATGGCATATTTCATTGTACATTTTGAGAATATCTTGTAATTTCAGCCATTGCAATTGACGGGGCTTTACAGTAAAATAACGTTGGCATCTCTTATTAAACTGATGAAGTTATTGTAACACGCTATGTTTAACACTATTATTGATGTAGTTTGGAACAATCCCATGTTATGATATTCTTAATAGCTTTGCATCTATTTTGTATGTGATTTCTTTGTTCCATGTGGCATTGAAGTTTTGGAGCAAATTTTGAAGCCAAAATTTTGTTTCATGTGCTGTGTTGCTTTTTATATTCATTCTTTATAAGTGCTGCTTTTTTCTTTTCTTTCTTCATATAATTTCTTGCCTTTTTTTAATTTTCAGTTTGAATTCCAAATCTGTTGCCTTTGTTTGTTGTGATTGTTGTTTATTGTTTGTTGTTGATAAGCTTTAAAGCCTTTTTCTGCTTTCATTCAATTGTCATCTAGTCATTATCATGTCTGTTCAGCATTTATGCAGCTAGTCTCATTTCGTTTTACAAGAATTACACATTTACTGTATAGAGCATTTAGTTCAATCTTTTAAATGTTATTTTTAAACTAATAAATTATTTTCCGAGTATTTTCTCGCCGTTAGCATGTCATATGTTACCACATATTTCATACATTTCAAAAATTGAGGCACGCCATGTATCGGTTGGTGAGCATACATTTGAATTTCTATTTAATTTGAATGATGATGTTATAAGTTCAAATAAAGACTTTCTTTAACCTTTGGATCTGAAATGTTTGTGATTGAACAGGAATTTATGAGTAACCTTCATCTTTTGTGCTAGGAGGGTACAGAGGAGTCATTTATAATTCCATCAAGTTTGGTTAGATCAGATAAAGTGCTGCATTCTGGGACAATACGAGCGGATCAGTAGAAGAAATCTGGTGAGATTTTTTGTGTTTCATGAATTTAATTGTAGGGTTAAAATGCTAACTGCATGAGCGGAATGGAAACTGATAAACGAGAGTGTTTCATCGAAACCGTATCAAATGGAGAAGCACAGGCGAAAAATGTAATCTTATTGCAGGCTGCGGCGAAGGGTGTATTGGCAAGAAAAAGATTTGCTAATTCAATAAGGTAATATCTAGTAGTAACAATTTTAGTATTGTTTTTTTTAAGTACTCTATTATTAATAACTTTATCCGCCCCTGTGACATTAGGTTGTGGTCGTAAAGCACCACTGACTTCCCCACTTGTTATAATTTCCAAATCTGATTTATTTGAATTATCTTCGTGTTTTTCTGTAACTGTTTTTAATTTAAATGTAACTTAAACTAAACATGGTAATATGCATACGGCAAATCTGCTGTAAACTTTTGGAACTTTTGGATTTTCATTGTTGATCATTGATTTGAGAACATGATGTTTGAAAGTAATTGTAAATGTGTGATTATATTTTTTTAGGAAAGATTTTGATCATTTGTTGGGTGCTTTTGTGAATATGGAGAAAGAGAAAGAGCTAGCTGGTTGTAAGGATGTGTTACGACTAGGTCGTCTTTTCATCCAAATTTTTGAACAACCATGCGATAATCAGGCAAACTTTCTATCATTTGTTAAAATTTAATTTTATGTTTAACTTTGACATTTTTATATTCAACTTCCGACAAATTAATAAAATTTCATATAATTATTTATTGGTAGCATTCCATTCTTTAGCTGTAAAGTTTCTTTCACTTGCTATGATATTGGTTTATTTAAACCGAGGAAATTATCTCTCTACTGGGAGGGAAATTCGTTCCAATTTGTCACTTTCTACTGCATCCTATTTATTATTTATTAAATTATGTTTTAAAAAAAAATTAAACTTATTATTTTTTCTTTTTATTAGTCGAATATACATTCTTAAATTAGTGTTTTAAAATTAAACTTATTTTAGAGGCTTTGTCAGTTGTGTCGTTATATGATATTGAGCATGTCATCATGTAATGTTCATAAATCATTTGCTTCGCTTTTGTTGTCCAAAAATTATCTTCAAGCAGCCAATCGTTTTATCATCTCTATATATTCGTTGATCATTTCGGTCATTCATAACCTTCAGGTCAGGTTTGAGGATCTTCAGAATTTCTGATATGATTATATTTTTTGACGACATTGTTATATACTGACAGGATGATGACCTTTGATGTAGTTTTTAAGTATGTGAGAAAGTTTTAAGTTTTAAGTACTTGAGTATATTCTTTCACCGCTTCAATCTATTAAGTCTTTCATTTTAAAGAATAATTAGTGATTAGTAGTACTTTCTAGTGTAATTTTCAAACTGTGAATCGCATGCAGTACTTTTTTTTCCTAACATGAAGGATCCTTATTTATTGTTTTATTTTTTAACGAAAGCAATTAAAGATCAAAAAGTTAAGGATTTAATTCACTACAATTTTAGGTTGAAAAAGTGTCGGATGGAAAAATGATATCACTGTTTATCCATTTTTTAATCACATTTTCAAGTGCTAATAGTTGGGCTTTTGTGCGAAACAATGCCGAAATTTGCTGCGCTTTAAATCAGTTAGGTAATAAAGCTCTCACTACAACAATTGGTGAAGAGTTGCGATACATCCAATTTTCGGTTCGTCCAATTTTTGTGTGATAGAAAATTTGATACCCAAAATATTTTACTGATCAATTTAGCTGTGGAAAAACCAAAATTTAAATTTTATATCCTTCTTCGTTATCACAAACCTTTATTTGATATAAATTCTTTCTTATTAATCAAATATTACCGTAAATTATTTTTAAGCAACTGCTAAACAGAATAGTATCGAGTGGAAGACTTGCGCTTGGTGCTAGTGCCTTCAATGGGCTGTTCAATATATTATTCAGGTGGAATATTATTTCATTTTCTTTCATTATGCATTGCTTATATGCCATCATTATAGGTAAATAAAAAAAATCTCACTTCAAATGAAGTTTCAGAATACTGAAAAACAGTAATTTCGACTTTCATGTGTTCACTTTATTTGTGGAATACTGCCTTACTTCTCCGGCTTTACTCATTCATCTCTCTGCAGCTGTATGTTTGCCTTACTATGTAAAACACCTAATTGTTTTTTAAATGATTTAAAAAAGCTCTTTCAGAACATTAATTTACTGGTGGAGAATAAAATGTTTGAAAAATCGATAACTATTCTAACGACGAATCCTGTAGTGCTTAATAATTTGAGTGGTAACAAAAGCTTATTTCTACTTGCTAATCTAATCCATTTGAGCTATCTGGACCAGCATGTATGTTTTTTCTTAATAATCGTTAATAATATTTGCGGTAGAACAATTTTTTTTAATAGTTTTATTGATGGTTTTTTTTTTGCTTTTTTTACATTGCTTTTGGTTATTCTCTACTTAATAATTTTCAGAGCTTAGTGGAGTTTTTGATTGATTGGGCAGATGTTATGAACAGAATGTTGACAAGATGTGATCGGCTTGTTGCAAAGAAAAAAAGTAATCGTAGCCATTGGCATCCTATTTTTGGATGGTATTCCGAACCACTTGACCGCAGGTTTTTTTTTTCCAATTCGAATTGTTGATTTATTTAATTTATGGATGAAATTTTCATAAATTCCCATGATTTGGTTATTGAATTGAAAGCTTAGTAAATGAATTGAATTGCAGCACGGAAGGTTCTCTCTCTCTTGTTGTACGTCAGTTACAGTACCTATGGTCAAAACAAATAGTGACATGCTTGTTTGGTCAGTTATTACATTGTGATCCGGAAAAACAGTCGTTATATCGTACATCTCAATCATCAGCTATTATGCAAAATGATCTTGCGACATCAATTCAAAGTAATGTTTTATTGTGAGAAAGTCATATTCGATTCAGTTTATTGAAATGGTTACTTATAGCTACTTATAGCATGTGATTTTGTTTCAATTTAAAAATTCTAATCGTTTAGAACTGTGGAAAAAACTGAATATAATTCGTGCAGAAGCGCAAGCAAATGACATTGCTCAGCAGCTGCCGACACTATCAATGACTGCGGTTGTATGCCAGCTTTATCAAAATGCTTTATTTACGTTAAATTCACTGCATACCGATATACTCTCTGGTAAAAGTTTGATTGAGTTCAGTAAAAATTTATGCAAAAATGTGGCAAACATTGGTCACAAAAAAAATGCATAATGTAGCATAAGCCAATTATGAATAGAGAAGGATTCTATATGCGTGATTCAGAGGCACAATTTGATTTAATGAAGTTTAGGTTTGTGTCGTGAAGACTTTCTTCTTCCACTTTTATGGGAACATATTGTTAGCTTATCACCAACTGATAATGGACTCTCTCACGTAATTGCACTGATTGCTTCACATTCACCAAAAATTACGCACTTTGCTCCAATTGTTCTATTTGCTAATTGTGCTGCTTCTGTCATTTCGTAAGTTTTTTTTCCATCTGCTGAAATAAAAGTGTCAAAGGAATGTTTCATATAATTTTTGATATTTCATATGTAATATATTGATATGGGAAAATTGTACTGCAATAAAGTTTTACTGTGATAATGAATTATAGCTATGTTAACTTTTGGTAGTTCTTAACAGCATCGAGAAAACGACTGAAGATTCAACAGTGCTATATTTTTATTTTTTAATTTTCTAAACAGACAGAAATTATGAAACTTGTCAGACAATGATCCCAACTCTCATTTCAGGATTCTTGACGAAGAAGAAATGTATGAGGAAGGCGGGCCATTCACTCTTGATCAATTATGTGCTATTGCCAAATTTTGTAATTTGTTTTGTTTTCGTGTGATTTGGAACTCTTATATTGGTTAGTACATTTTTTTTTCCTTATATATTCATATTTATCAATAGCTATAAACCACTTTTATGATATATGCGAAAATTTAAATTAATATTAAAGTTTCATAAAAGCTTTCCAGATTTGCAGCAAATTTCATCTTGCCCATTATTTTCCTCTATTTATCAACTCTGTATGTTACTATATAATCGTGATTGTCGAAGAGCTTTCTCAAAAGATCATAAATTCTGGATTGCACCGTAAGAGTTTCCTATAAAAACTACTGATATCAGAAACAATTTATTTTTGTCGTATGATTTTTTTTTTTTTTTAATATAATTATTTCCTTTCAGAGATGTTAAAAGTTCAGTCATAATGAATGAATTTGAAAAGAAGAGTGAACGTGCTCTTTTTCTGATGTCGCATATGAGCCATTTAGTAACTTTATATGATCGGATAGTTTTGTTCAGGTATAGTGTCTTTTTTTTTTTCTTTTTTTTTTCATTTTAGTCCTGTATTGATTTTGCTTTATAAAATTAATTTTGATTCTTGAAACCAAGCATTTGAAGAATTACATTTTATTTCATAAAATTTCATGAGTCATAGCGAGAAAGAAAATATATACCTGTAGGGAATAAATATCTATGAGTAGTGGTAGTTCATAAGCAAATATTGACAGCCTAATCAATAGGTTAAGTAAATGTTGAAAAGTTTGAACGTTTCCAATATTTTGCATTATAAACATATCTTTCAAAAGTTTAATGTTGAATTATCATCGCAAAATTTAACGCACAGAATCTTCGGGTGTTGTTGAATAATTTTACATTTTTAAATTGAATAATTTTTATAAAGTAAATGAATAATTTTAAAGTAAATTAGAAATACAATTTTTTTTTTCAAAGTAAAAATATATGAATTTTATTTGTTTTAGGAAGTATATTGCATCAGAAAAAGAAAGTATGGAAGGTACTCCTAGTACGATGATAACAGTAGAAAGAAATAGACTACTTGCAGATGGTTATCGTCAACTATCATTGCTGTCGCCTACTGCACTTAAAGCAACCATTCGTGTAAAGTTCATTAACCAGCAGGTTTGTTACAAATTTTATAATGATAATAACTTTTCAGCTTTCTTTTTCTTTCATAATATTCGTTTATATATATATATATATATATATATATTTTTTTTTTCATTATTTTATGTATTTTCAGGGATTAGATGAGGCGGGTATTGATCAGGACGGAGTATTTAAGGAATTCTTAGAATTAACGTTGAAACATGTTTTCAATCCTGACCTCAATCTTTTCAAGGTTACTTCTCAGCCTTCATACTTCTTATGTAATTACTGTAATATTGTTGTTGTATGTTTTGTCTTTAAATTTTAATTCTTAATTTTTCCAGTGCTCACCAAATCGACAACTCTATCCTTCGCCAACATCAGATTTGCATGAGAATCATCTCGATCTTTTTCAGTTTGTTGGTCGTATGCTAGCTAAAGCTGTCTATGAGGTTTGCTGTTATACATTGCAAAAATAATATATTTAAAGTAGTAACAGTTGTATATTAAAAATAGTTTTTTTTTTTTTTTCTCTCTCTCTCTCTTCTATGAATTTAAATCTTATAAAGAAGTTATTTTTGAGGGTATTGTTACTGAAGTACATCTTGCGCCCGTACTGTTAGCAGCTGTATTGGGTCGTAAATTGTGTGCATTTGATGAGTTATCACAGCTTGATCCAGATCTTTACAAAAGTCTTATTTACGTGAAACATTATTCGGATTCGGATGTTGCTGATTTATCACTAACTTTCTCGATTGATGAAGATATATTGGGACATGTACGAACCACTGATTTAATACCAGGTGGTCATGCAATGCATGTTACAAATGAAAACAAGTAGGTTTTCATTCTTCATTTTCAACTTTTCATATGCGGTTTTCAATCTCTTACAGTTCCTTAATATATAGCTTTCATATTATGAAACATTGGCATCTATCTTTTGTTAATTTCATCAATCCCTCTAGCTTTTTATTTTCTTTTTTCTAGAATAGCTTATGTTCACAAAATGGCACAGTATCGCGTTTTTAATCAAACGAAAGAGCAATGTCGTGCTTTTGTGTCAGGATTTCTATCGGTTTTGAACAGCAATTGGCTTTCTTTATTTGCTCCACATGAACTTCAATATCTGATTTCAGGGCAATCAACGTAAGTGCTTGCTACTAAAGTAGAGAAGGAATAATTTGACGTTACAGTAATATCGAGTCATAAAATGGCTTTGACAAATGTTACGAAATGATTTTACTGCTGAAAGTGTACCATTCTAATAGACGTTTTTCTTAAAAATGGGTATAGTTTATCTAAATGCTTCTTTTTTCATTCAGTGATATCGATTTACATGATCTTCGTAAACATGTACAATATTATGGAGGTTTTCACAATAATCATCGAGTCATTAAATGGCTTTGGCAAATATTGGAAAATGATTTTACTGCTGAAGAACGTCGTCTGTTTTTAAAAGTTTGTTTGTATTAAATTTCCTTTCACAATTTTGTTATATGAATATTGGCAAATTTTAAAACTTGTACAAGTATGCTTTATATAACTCTCTTGATGTATTCCGCTTATGGAATTTTTATATCCGTAAATTGAACCTTATCAGTATAATTAATTGTAACGAAAGGAATTGAGAATTGTTAGTTTATGAAACTTTCAATCAGTGATTATTTTATCGCATGTGGTATTTAAATCAGTTATTAAAGTTTGTAACGAGCTGTTCGCGTGCTCCGCTTTTGGGTTTTGCATATCTTGAGCCTCCTTTCTCGATTCGTTGTGTTGAAGTATCTGATGATCAGGTAAAGTTTTACTTTTTATCAATAATTTGACTATTATTTAATGGAACTATCCGTTGATTTAATCTCATTTGATTAATATTTTTAAACCTTATGCCAATTTTTTAGGACCAAGGTGATACTTTAGCTAGTGTTGTTCGTGGCTTTTTGGCTATTAAGCGACGTCAGTCACCTTCACGGCTACCCACAGCCTCTACCTGTTTTAACCTTTTGAAATTGCCAAATTATGGCAAAAAGTCGGTTCTGTTACAAAAATTAAGATATGCTGTGCACTCAGAAACTGGCTTTGAGCTTAGTTAAATTTGAATAAATTCATTTTGGCTTTCTGACTTTCACCATTTTAGTTTTCATTAGTCTTTTCTACTATACGATTCCTTGATTTTTTGGGGATTCGTGCTCGGTAATAGACCTGGTCACTTCCTTTCGAGGAAAATGAAGTTTTGTAGATTTTCATTGTAAAGTTTAATTTACTCTCTGTTTAATAATTTGTGTTTCAAATAAACAGTTTTTGAAGTTTAGTGGGGTGTTATTACTTAAATTCATAATTTTTGCATTATTATTAAGCATCTATTGAATAATGATATCAACTTTTGGAATAATTAGCAGAGGCTACAAATTTCTTTATCATTACATATAAAAATGTAAATAACTTGATAGTCTTTTTTCTTGAACATATCAAATTGATTTGTTATTTTTCTATCTTTTATATTTTAAATATTTTACAACTACTCTTTTCTTCTGTCATTGCAAACGTCCTACTGTATATGCGGTACATTACGATTTTAATATATTGCATTGAAATTAAAAAAAGGCGAGAAAAAGAAAAACGAAAGAATTGGAAACTATTCTTGTGACTATTTGTTTGTGCATATTCTGTCTAATTATCATTTTATCATTCATAGCATTGTGATACATTTCCATGTCTTTTCGTTGTATTATATAGCTTTGTAGCACTGCTTTCTCTTGTCTTCTCGAAATCATTTGTGGTAATAATAATGTAAAGATTCGAATATATCTTAAGTGAAGAGTTCATAGTTCACCGGTTTGTACAAAAAGCAATAAATATTACATATCGATTATTTCGTTTTTGTGTTATATCTATGAATTGTTGGTATTACCAAACTTTATACATATCTTAATTCGGTTTAAAAAGAAAAAGAGAAAATCAGTATTACAAAATGAGCAATAAGTAAGACAAAAATGAATAGCTGTTCCTAAAAAAAAAAAAAAAAAAAGTATGTTTCTACAAAGTAATATTCACTGTATTTTACAAAAATTCAAGTTATTCTTTTATATCCGTAATTTTGATAAAATTGTCTACATCCTCTAGCCTTTTTTCTTTTCTTCTCTTTAATATATGTTTGGATGGAGGATTCAAATAAGAATTGATGTTGAAATTTTATTAACAGTATCGATGGAATTGGAAGAACCAATCAACGCAAATGATGAAAAGGATGTTTGTGATAATAATGATGTGGAAGTGATCCGACGCGTTTTGGATGAAATGATTGAAAGGTTTCCTCTTTTTTACTTTTATTTAAAATATTTTAGAAATGATTCTAAAGTTTTCCATTTAACAATGATTACTCGTAAAGTATTGTAACATTTCCTATAGTTCCATCCTTGAGAATGTTGCTAATTTTTTTTCTCCCTCTGTTTAAGAAAAATATTGAAATCTTTAAACTTTCTATGAATTTTTAGATTCTTCTTTTGTGTTTATTATTTTCAAAATTTCTGACATACTAATTAGTTTTTCCAGCCGTTTGAAAGTGGTCTGTCAACATGACCTTGTTTGTATTTCCAATTCTGAATGCTGGAAGGAAACGGGTATAAAATTACTGAGCAACAGTACATTTCGCATTTTTGATGGTGAAATCAGTGAATTCGTAGAAGGTCCACCAAAGAAGCGAAGAAAAGATGCTTCTGATGCAAAGTTAGTCGATGTTCTATTTCTACATTCTCTCTCTGTCTCCCTCTTCAATTAAAATTCTTAGTAAATATCAATTTTTGGGCAACTATTTGATTAAAAAGGATCGTTTAATAAAATGCGAAAAAAAAGAAAAAAAGATTATCTGTACGTAATTAATACTTTGCATTGTTAAGAATTTTTAAAATCCTTTAAATATTTGTAGTTCTGATTGGAATGATGAACGTGCAAAAATACGAGCTGTTGCTGTTGATGCTGATTTTATTCAAAAATTCAGTTAATTTATTCAAGTTGCTGTGTATTGTCAATTTATAGATGGTGTCAATTTTTTGTGGCTTCTCATTGGATAAGTGAAAGATTTAGTTTAAAGAAATATATTTTATATTTGAAAGTCTTCGCGTACAAAAATTTGTGTGATATTTTTTTTTTTTTTTTTTTTAGAATTACAAGTAGAAAAAAATATTTTCATATGTAAATCTATTCAAACACATTGTATGTAATTTTTCATGGAATATTTTTCAGCAACTAAATTTTAAATAATTCTTTTTTACTCTGCAATAGCATATGGCAATATCTTTCAGCAAAATTACATTAAAGTTTCAGAATTTGAAAATAGTGTTCTTATTTTAAAAACTATTAATATATTTTAAATTAGTTTAATTAAAATATATCCAAAATGCAAAAATATTTACGTGATTGCCTGATAGTTAGCAGTGACCTATTTAGTTGTTTTGTTTTGTCAACTGGTCGGATTTGAAAAGAAGTAGATTGGATTTTATGGATAAGATGTGTTTTTATTCTAGTGACATTTTTTTTTTCTTTTGAAATCACATTTTCCTCATACATCTCTAGAAATTTCTTCCATATCATCGAATGAATTACAACATTCACTGCAAATTTTATATGCTTAAATGAAATCTAAGAGATTTTTTTTCGGCTCGTAATTCGTGAAATCCAGAAATTTACAATTTCAGGTGAATTTAAGATGATTTTGGCATACATGGAAAGTATTGATTTTAATTAATTTTTGGAAATTGTAACTTTTTGCATTCCCTAAAATATGTGAATACTTTAATTTTATATTTGGGAAGTTGCATGTTTCTCGAGTTTTCTTTTGAAAATTTTTCTCGGTCATGAAAGATTGTAATGATTGTTACTGATATGCCAAAATTCATTCGTAAACATAATGTCAAGGTTATGTATTCAGGGAATTATTCCTTAATTTCTATTAACTTTTGTTACTGTTTTATTGTACAAATAAATACTAAATATAGTTTACTGTATGTATATATATATACTCAAATTTGTGTGACATATTAAAACTGAGGAACGAAAATGACTGAATGAAAAGTAGGTTGAAAGATTGAAGGGAAATTATTATCTGTGATTGTTGTGCTGAAATTTCATAGTAAATAGTGAATAAAAAAAAAAAAAAAAACCAATGCTGATTGCTTATTGAAGGTAACTTAACTATAATTTATGTTTCAAATTCTGGATAACAGTATCAGGGATATCTATTTACTAAATAATATTCTTTAATTGCGAGAAATTTGTGTAGCAAAAAGTAGACAATATAAATGTTAAAATACTATTAAGATATTGCAATAATTGATATAAGTAATTTGAATTTCTAGTAAAGTAATTAAACCTGAGCAATTAAATTTAGTATTTTTTGGTTAAATCGAATTATTGGAAGTGAAGGAATTTAATCGTTAGAATAAAACAATTATGTATGAATGTAGAATTTTCATTCTAATCTAAAAGTTTTCAATTGATGGAAATTATGAAACAAACATTGAATGTTTCTTTTTTTTTTTTATTAGGCTATTGCTACCAAATTAAATGAATGATAATGAGATAAATAAAGAAGAATGTGTGAATAAACAATTTAGCATATGTATATCAAGAGTAAATGTATATCACCAAAATATCAAAATTGATAAATTTATTGTGGAAATTTTATGAATTATAATAGGATAGAATTGTTAACATAAACAAATTGAACTATAATTCAATACAACTGAATTGAATTATAACATAAGCATAATTGGATTAACTGAATTTACCAATTAATCGTTTATATTTAAATTTTATATATTCTTTTTTCTATTTTTATTTTTAATGTTTTTGTATATTCTTTTATATATTTATATATCCTTACATTTATCATTTTTATTAAAATCATCAGATTTATCAAATTGTGTGTAATATTTTACTAGATGCAAAGTTTTTCACTTCTCTTTATGATATTTAGTTCAAGTAATTATGTTTGTGTTATACAAAAATTATTTATTAGAAAGTTTAATTTCTTGCATTTTCGGATTGCTTCTTTTTTTGCTTTGATGTGATCAATACTGATGGATTGTTTATGAAATTATATCAAAATGTTATGTTATTCGAAAATTTCAGGTCGTATATTTTTGAATAATATTTAACTATTGCTTAAATGTACTGCTTCATGCTAGAAAGTAAACAACTTATTAAAACATCCATCATCTCATTATTCGAGACTTTTTTCCATTTTAGTACCGTTGTTTTCAATTTTTGTGAAATAATTACCTTTAAATCAAGCAGAATTTAGAAATTTAACGCAACAAAGATTAAGAATTGCTACAGTTATTATCAACCTGAATTTCATTTTGCCCATAAATTTCTATCATTCCCGATTTTATGTATTCTTATATTTATATTTTTTTCTCGACTTGATGTCAACAGTGGAAAATATACTTTGCATATGTCCTTGTATAGATGAAATTGAGATTCTCAGGCTAACCACATCCTGAGTTTTAGTGAAAAAAAGTGCAACAGCATTTCAAAAAATTTTATTATCAAAGAAAAACAATAGCGTAAACAAAAATCAGTAATTTAATCTCACCACTTTACATTTGCAAGATAACATTTTTGAGCAATCTTTCTCAAATGAATTTCTATCCGAAAAACCATGGATCAAACTCCCAGATAAAAAAAATTTATTTTTAGATATGGTTATCAGTCTTATTAATTTAATTCTAATAATTTAATATTTTAAAGACAAAAAAAAAAGGTAACAGGATTTTTGTTGTTTACAGGAACAACAAACATAACAACAATAAACAGTTAAACATTATGTTAAATATTACAAATTAATATCAAACTGATCATACTGTCCTTCCATCTAAAAATCAAAAAAATTGTTATCTTTGTTTATCTTATCTTTGACTTCATTTCTACCGGGTGAGTTGCCAAAATCCAATTCGAAACCATCATCATCACGAGACGATGCATTTGTTTCGGTATTACCGAAAAGTGCCATGTAGTCGTTAGCACCAGCAATAGGTCCAGACTGGTCTTCAACGAAATAGATATATCTTTTTGTTCATTTGAAAAATGGGAGCTTATTACTTTTGATGTGAGAACAATTAAGCAGATGCATTTTAGTTTAGCGGAAATCTGTAGATTTCTGATAGACAGTAAATTTCATGTCAACCGGGAATGAAATTAGAATCAGAATCAAATGAAATAGTATGAACTTGCTGTAGATCAAAAACTGAAGACTGATTCAAATTCGTTTGAAAGATAAAAGAATAAGTATTTAAATAGTACTTTTGCGTTAAAAGTTAGATTTTAATTCATCATTAAAAGGTTACTGACTTTGCATTATGGAAGACAGATTGAAAATTGCAGATGCATCAAATTCTGTCTCCATGCCAAGGTAAGTATTCGATAAATTCACCGCTGATATGCTGGGAGCGAAATTTGTAAACTTTAAAAAAATCGTTGTTTTTATTTTAAAAATAATTGCCACACTTACAGTAAAGTTAGAGTTGTAAAGCTAAAATGATTTGGAAGAAAATTAACAACGAACTCACGGTTTCAAAGAAATTAGTAGGATCTAGATCAGATTCAGCATTCTCCACTGGTTGCAGATTGATACTTGCAGCCTTACAATCATCTAAAAATAAAAGTTCAACAAGTTCGCCGCCTTAACTGCCTTGAGGAACCTAGAAGCAAGTCTTCGGTGATATGTCCGAATATAAAGCCAAAGTAAATAACTGAAAATAAATAATACAATGTGATAATTATTTTTGTGTATATAATAAGCTAGTATGGTTAATATTTTACTAGACAGATTGCTTAATGATGTCTTTCCGATAAATTGATATGTGATTCAGCCGATATACGACGATTTTATTGCTGTATTACTCAGAAGTTTTGGTAATGCATCTGTTCAACTAACCGTCATTATAATCAACAATATTCTCTCCCTCACTTCTTCCAGATATTGCAGTTTCCACTTCTTCCGAATTATTAGTAAAATTTGAAATGAAGTTAGTACTACTGTCCTGAAAATTGATAGAGAAGAAAATAAATCCGTGTGTAAAAAATTATATCAAAAAAAAAAAACTCATTCTAATAAATTAGCGTGATGATATCTTTCTACCTGCTCATACAATTAACGCGTTCATAATAAAACCTTATCAGAAGTCAAATTTAGGCCAGTTTTTTCATCAACAGAAACATTTTTTTCATTCATATCGAATATGCTTTCTTCAAATTCTGTAACTCTCTCGTTTAGTTCATCGGACATCTGAAGAACTTCCTGGTGCTTATCCACTTCCATTGCTGTATTTGTCAGATTTTCTTCGGTTTCCTGAGATAAGAAAGTTCTCAGTTAATTACTGGAATAATCTGTCACTAATTGTTAAAAGGATGAGCAGAAGACAGTAGACTTATGAAAGTGTTAGCCGATTAGGCATTAGTTCTGAAAAATTTTTAAATACCATAGTTTTTAAACAAAGATCTTAAATTTAGTCTTTGGAATTTAAGAATTCAATGCTGATTTGGACTAAAAGTATGGAGTATATTTTTGCACAAACACTTTTTTGCACTGGACAAACCTCATTTATAACAATAATTTTAATATCCTCCTTCAATTTGCCATCGTCTGGCATGGTTATAGTTGAGTCGACTTCTTTTTGAAAATCAAAATGAAGTTCATTGTCCGCCTAAATTTAATCCTAGTTTAAGTAAGTATTTTACTGCAACGTAGTAAATACAAAGGAAATAAATAGAATGAAGTCATACATACAAAGGATTTAAAAAACACCTGGAAATTCGTTCCAATAGCTTCACCAGTATTTTTTTCTCGCATGCAATCAAATGATATCGCTTCCTCACTTACATCACCATCAGCAATACCGTTTATACATAGCGGAGATTCTTTTGTTTTTTTCTCCTAAAATCATCAAAATTAATTCTCAAAAACATGCATAGACATATCTACCTTATTGCATTTTTAACGTGGTGTTTGTATTAATAAGAGAAGAAGAAAATATATCAAATGCTTGAGTGATGTGGATGCATAACATTCTATATTATTTTTGAAGAATTATCCCTACACTTTTTATCGCTGAGATACCATGAAAAAGCTAAGTAGTATCATAGCAACTATTCAAAACAATACTGAAACATCCTCAATCACTTTGAAAAATATTTTATTCCTCCATATATTTTATTTCTTCATGTAATGAATTTAATATAATCAAAATAAATTTACAACTCTAAAGCTTATTAAATTTTTTGAAGAATTTTTATCAAAAAAATTTCAGTTTACTTCGGATGGTTGAATCTGACTAGTCTGCGATTGACTGTATTGTGACAGTATCGAAGTATCCAAAATTCCCTGGTCTGACAATTCTTGTGTAAGCTGAAAGTTAACGAGATTTTCTGGATAACGACAAAAGGTGAACAGCTGAATGTTTCCATATGTTTTAGCTAAGGTAGGAAAAAAAACTTATTTTCTAAAACAATCGCTTTTTAATTAAATTTTATTTCGATCACATGAAAATATCAAACTTTTTCTTGACATGTGACTTTGAAAGAATGAATTCCAATTGAAGAAAGATCCATTAGAAAGAATCCTCATTTGTAATATTGTTAAGAATTGTACTGCTTGATCGTGTTAACACGGAAATTATTCCTTTTTTAGGATTAGAGCAATCCTTGCGATATTTCCATAATAACTACTAAATTTGTTTTAATTTTTGATAGCTTAATTGGTATTTGAATATTTGAAAAGAATCACACCTGTGCAATAATGACATATTCTTGTGCCAACTTTTTCAAAAGGGCATGATTTTTCAGTGCTATAGCAGCGACCGCTACACAGAAATTTGTGAATGGTAGCTCACGGCTTTCTGCAACTAAAAATCCAAATTTGAGAGAAAGTAATAAAATTCAAACAGCGATAAAGAAGATATGAACATTGCTTCTTGGTTTAAAAGAAAGGAAAATTAAAAAATATTGCAATGGTAGTAATGGAAAAATTGGTGTAACAGATTATTCCAACAAAATTGATTTTATTTAACTCATTTAACTAAGTCGACAGAAAGTCAACAATGTCTTTTTATGAACTAGTATTTTTTCAAAACTTTAAAAAAGAATGTGCTCTGAATTACTATAACTTCAGTATAACTCGATACAAGATACAAGTATAAACTAAACACAAACAAATGGCTTCTTTCTCTTGAATGGATTGTAAAAGTCTCTCTTTCTTCACACGAGCCTCTTCAATTTGTTTATGAAGACCAGCCAATTCTTCTTCTTCCTACAATAAATTAATTTGAATTTACATGATTTCATTCACGGCAAAATATTCCATTAATAGAAACAATGCAACCTTACGACGTGAAATAACCCAAGAAGCATTTAGTAATTTGTTTTGAACAGCTTTCAAACGATCTATGAGAAGTTGCTGATCGACCTTTACTTTCACCTTTACTTCTTCCAGCTAAAACATACATTAATTTATCATAATAAGCTAAAATAGTAAAGTGTTGCAGAAATTAACATACAGTCTTTTTCAATTCTTCAATCTGTTCTTCAGCTTCTGCTTTTCTCATCTGCTTTACAATGATTTGTTGGCGCATGCTGTAAATTAGAAATATTTATTTCACAACTTTACTGGTAAAGAGTTAAATACCAATGTCATCACCGATGAATGTTTTTTGGCCGACAATTAGTAATTAATATATATATATATAAACATCTTGTATACATAACGTTACAAAACAAAGTAAAAAATGCACTGGACGAATCTCGAATCTCAAGTAAATAATGATAGTGAAAAAACTAGCCCTTTTATATTTTAGAGATAAAAATAATTAAGTGTTCCAATTTTTCTTTCTTTTTAATTTTAAAAACAGAATATGGAAATCAGAAAGTATTAATATCTTCAGCGATGATTCGTTTTTTGGTAAATTAGTATGATTATAACTAGGAACAGATTAGCTCGTTTACTCATCTTAAAGATAGAAATCAGGAACCGAGAATGTCTTCAACAAGAATTCTTTTGATAACTTCTATCTATTACTATGCTCAAAAAGTGATTGCCAAAAAGTCATAAATAATGCGACTACCATATATCAATATTTGTCATTATAAAAAGTTAATATTGTTGACAGTAACAGAAAATGATAACAAATAGATCCAATTATAAAAATCATAAAAAAATTGTATTGCATACTTCTCAACCTTTTCACATCGTAACTGTACCCGAGCTCGAAAATGTTTTAATTCTTCTTCCTTCATTGCAATTTTCATCTCCTCCTTTTCCAAGATTAATTTAATTTCATTTCTTTCCTTTTTGGCTTCTAAAAAAGAAAAAAAAAGGTAAGGAAATAGGATTGTAAAATAAAGAAACATCCAATCAGACAAAAGTATATATAGATTACAGATAGATGACTATTCTCAGAGCAAACCTTCATTTTTGTATCGCTGCTTTTTTAACATCTGCTTTGTCTCTTCCTCTTCCCATGCTAGAAATTGATGATACAATAATTATCATTGAAATATGCTGATTATTTTAAACTTTATATGACAGTTGATTACAATACTTCAACAATTACCAATAAAAGAAAAAAGCATGTTTGTTCTTACTCAAGTCACGCAATTCTTTGCGAAGTTGTTCCACCAAACACTCTTCATTGTTTCCATCAGAATTCATTGTGATTAGAATTGATTATAAAACATTTTTATGTAATGAATTGTTATCCATAAATGTTATGAAATGTTGTTTTAAAACTTCACAGTTTAAGGTAAGCCATTATTCAACATATATTTGCTCTTCAAATAACACATTATGCTAATCATATCAAATTCTTTTTCTTTCCAAAAATAAAACTTCCAAAATATTAATATCATTCTAAAATCTATCTTACTAGAAACATTCCATCATACTTATTAGAGCTATCACATAATTTCCCACGCAATCTACAAAAGAAAAATCCTAAAATAGCAAAGAATGCGAACGTTAATAGTACCACTGTATGTGTTAACTCACTGCAAATAACCACATTGACAGATTAATCATTTTTTGCTTCTATTAAACCATTTACGTGAAATATCACGAAAGTATGCATCACGTTGAGAAAAAAAACTCATTGTAGACTTACGTAGACATAAGCTTATGATGAGCGAAAGAAAAAGAAAAACTCATTAACAGCTTATAATGAACAGTACGTATTACACGTTATTTTTCATAGACTTTTTTCCCAATTAAGTAGTATCAATTTGTATCTTCATTAATATAATATTAAAGAATTCAATTTGAATGATAATAGTATTGACTATCAGAACCTCTTTCTTTAAATATAGTTTTTAGTAGTACTACTTATATGAGCAAAGACTTTGATGTTTGAAGTGAAAAAGATAAATATATTTGGAAATGTAACTCAATAATCATTCATTAATTACATATGGAAGTATCCAATTTAAATTATAATAATATTTAATCATATCATCCATCTACAGATGTTCACATGTATATACTTTCAAATGAACGCTTACTACTTATTTGAAAGACGTGTACCGGATTTTCACTTTCTAGACAATTACTCATATATATTCTTTTTCCCATAATATTCCCATACAGTTCTATTTGAGGTCATTATATGTATGACCTTTTGTTGGATGTGAGTACAAATATATACAATAGCGCTTTATTCCCTTCAAAATAACTCATAGTATGGATGAAATGCACAATCGTACCAACTTATTTTCAATTTATTTTCGTTTTATTTTCATGTTTGCACATATCTTCTACTTATATCTTCATCTCATCGCGAGATCGCGGGAATCTACTCCCAACACTCTCATCACAACCTCTCCAGCTGATAACACAATATATTGTGTAACGATTAACCGTACTGTTGCAATCTTTACCACAAATCATCTCTTCCTGGGCGAACCATCAATTTTCATTGTGGGTAAAAAAAATGTGGATGCACCAGTTGCATAACGTAACCAGATACGCTCCGAAAGTATTGGTTTTACTACGATTGTAGCTTCGATTTGTGACAATGATGGTGCTGTTTCGTTAGGATTTGGGGAAATATGAAAATAATAAATCTCTTTACTTCATGACGGCAGATTGATTAATTCAATTGGGTGCTTAGCTGGTTCCGTTAATCTTTTTAGTCGTATTGAAATGAGTGTAAAAGTGTAATCTCGGATATATGTGATTGACAATTCTTTTTCAAATTAAATTATACATTCAGAAAATGTGTCCTTGCATCCTTCCGGCTTAATCGTTCCTTCCTTTTATTCTTTTTCTTGTCTACTATCATTGCATTTAATTAAATGAAAGTTTTTTTTTTTTTTTTTTTTTTGTCGGAATTATGTGAAATAAATTACAAGAAATTGTTATCATTAATAATAATATTATTATAAAATGGCAATAATGATAGTAATAATAATAAATTAGTTAATTGATTAATGATAGAAAAAAAAATGAATGAAATGAAAAAAAAAAAGAAAAGAAAAAACATCCACAAATATACATGAACACAAACAGACATAAATTCACATTTATCAATTATCATTATTAACAGCAGCACAATGAGGAGGAGAATTAGTATATGTATACATTCGATTATGCATATATTTTTCATCCAATTGAAACAAAGTAAATCTTCGAAATCTGAAATCATTTGTGATTTATTTATGGAAGCAAGCAATTAGTTATTTGTAATGGTATAGTGAAGAAAGTTATTCTATGTTAGAAATTTCTTTGTTTTTTTTTTTTTTTTTTTCCATAGATTCAATTTTTTATGAATGAAATTTTTTGACAAATTCTTTAAAAAATTTAGGAAAAAGGGTGGAAAAGTTTTAAAACAAATCACAAATTATTATTATGTTATGTGACATTAAAAATAAATATAGCACAATATGTCATATCTATTTAGAAAATTGCAAAATTTAAAAATGATTAGTTCAATTTACTAACTTTCCTAATCATTTAACCGCCAAATATTGATAAATCTTGTAGAGAGAAGAATAGTGGAATAGCTTCTATTCAATTGTAAAACTTCTTCCTAAGAAAATGTCTATCAGTGAGTTATCAGATTAATTAGTTCAAATTACTAATTATTCGTTTCAAATACGATAACTCATTTGTTTATCACTGTAATTAGCCTTATAATATATCAGCAAAAATTTAATGCCATGATTAATAATTAAAATTAGATTATTGTTTTAATGTAATAGTTAGATGATGTCTTATCATTGATAAAAGCTCTTCGAGAATACAGTACAAGATAATGAGAATTAAAAGATGAAGCGATTGATAGAAAGTTAGATGATAAAGAGATAGAAGAAATTATTAAAACTTACAAAAGATTAATAGCAATTGTTATGATAAGTGTATATATATAAATATATATTTATATGTATATATCATATCCAAAAACCAAACTTTTTTTTTTGTTTGTTTGTCATATTATTGATTTATACATACCCGCTGTTATAAAAATACACGACTATTAGAAAATAAATAGAAAAAAAAATGAGAATAAACGAATGAAATTTGGAAGGAAAAAAAATTGAAACAAAATTTCAATTATTATTATTATTTAAAAATTCAACAATTTTCGCATAATTTACAGTTTCAAAAATATTCCAAAAAACTTATATAAATATGAAAAAGTGCAAATTTTTTTCAAAACGAAAAAGATAGAAATAAAATGTGTTACTTCAAAAAAGTTTGCTGCAATAAAAAAATGATTACATATGATTATTGCTGCTGACAAAAAGTGCAAATGCTTAAATTTTCAAACAAAAAAATATTGTTAAAATAATAATAATTATTATTATAGCAATCATGATAATGGCAATAATAATAATTAGTAATAATAAGATGAAAAAAGGAAGAATAATGTGATTATATGATAATGATAAAGTTGTAGTCGATTTTACATAATAATTCATATGAATGACCGATGGAAATGTATAATAAATAATATCGCAAACAGATATTGTGCATTTGAAGTAAAAATAAAAATTTTAGATTTGATAAGCTGCAATAATTCATGATGTGGAATCATGGAAGGAAGAGCTTGATAATGATTCATTAGTTATTTACAGTATTATGAATAAAGAATAAATAAAGAAGAAGTAATGAGTGATTAAGAGTGAAAATATTCTAATGTTCAGCTAATACTATTTTAAAAAAAAAGTAAAATTGAAGTATATGGCAGTATCGAAGTCTAAGACACCCATTTATTTGTTTTTTCTACCTTAGTTAGGTATTACCTTACTAACATAGTTAAAATATATAAATTCTATCGCTATAGTAATCTAAAATTGTTACAAGTTGGTGCTTCTTTCATCCCAAAATTTATAAAAAATAAAACTAATAATATTGTTGTAGGGTGCAATAATTAGTCAGAGTTTATTACTATTATTATTGTTAATTCTGTTTTTTATTAATATTATTATTATTATTTTATTACTATCATTATTAATTCACTTACAAGACTGATAAAATGCTATCCTAATCACTAATCATACATTTTTGGTACTAAAAAAAGCACTATGCAATTGTATACTAAATGATATATAAGAAAAGATAACACTACAAAACTATTAGCTAAGAATGGTTAATCCCATTTGATTATCATTCGTTATCATTAACATTAACAATGTTTGCTAATGTGATAAGAAGGAATATAGAAGTAAATACAACGATGAAAATTAGTGCAAATCGAATAAATAATTTCATACTGAGTAAAACTGTTTTTTGCTTGAAAAAGAAATTTTGTCTGCCATTTGTTCAACTAGAAATGAAAAAAAAAAAAAAAAATTATAAAACCAAAATCTTTTGGAAAAGTTATTTTGGACATTTTTCGACTAAGTTAAGGATCGGTTTCCTTTCATTTTTTTCTTTTGCTCCAACTATCTATTTTTCTAATTCAGAAATTTATTATTGAATTTTTTTTTTTCTATTTAAATATCCGAATAATGGCAATAAATAAGTTTAACTTAATTTGGAAATCTTTTTTTTTTCGCATAATTCTCGTGAAAAGATGTAATTTCTTCATTTAATTTGACATGTGAATATTATTTCAAGTAGAGATCAGAGCAACATTTTGTAGTTTGGAATCGATGATTTCAGTTTCCTCTCTTACTGTTATGATACACTTCCCTAACATTTTAACTTTGAAAAAATTTTTTTCTTTTAAATTATGAAAATTTAAAGTTAAGAAACAAAATAATAATAATAATTAATAATAATAATGAATAAATAAATAATAATATAAAGTAGATTTGAAGAAGTGGGGATATATTGTGGAAAACCTGAACAAATATCAATTATTGCTGGGCTTTTTATATGTCATATCAGAATAAGGAAAAAGAAATTTTAAAGAAATAGAAATAAAAAAAAAAAAAGAAAACATAGCATATGAAAGTTTTATATATACACTAATATTTTAGAAAAAAAAAGGAAAAGGAAAAAGGAGAAAAGTTATAAAAAAAAAGACATTTCAAATTGTATAGATTTATCATATTATCACTTTCAAATAGAACTTTTAAGAGTTAAATTTTGAAAAGTTTTTAGACATTTTTTATCCCAATTATATCAGAGATATAAATGCATTTTTTAAGATATGGAAATACCATTTTAAATGAATCAAATTGTGTTGCTGCAAAATATTTCACATAAATTTCACTACACTTAAACTACAGTTAAATTTCACTAATCAAAAATTTTCATAAGTGTATACTTTTTCTTTTTTTTAAAAAAAAAAGAAAGAAAGAAAGAAAAGAAAGAGGAAAAGAGAAAAATTAGTTGAAGAAAAATTAGAAAATATAATTTTTTTTAAAAAGAAAAATGAAAAAAGGAAACGATAAAGATATGAAATTATATATAATTATAAAGAAAAAAGTAATGAAATTAGGGAATAAAAAGCAAAAAAAAAAAAAAAAAAGAATGAAAGAAAGGAGAAAAAGAAATATAGCAAAAATAAATAATAAGGAAAAAAGATAATATTTAAAAGAAAAATAAAAAAAATTGCAGTAAAAAAGAAAAGGAAAAAAAAAATTTTTTTTTATTTTATTGTTAAAAAATTATTTATTTTCATTCATTTTCTATAAGAAAAAAAAAAAAAAAAAAGTGAAATTATTATGATGAAAAAATCATTTGTAAATTTATTATTTGCATTTGTCGCATATTGTTTTTATAAATTTATTCGTTGACATTGTAAAAATCAATTGATACTGTATTGTTTACTTCTGTTATTATTGTTTTGGCTCATATATTTTCATCAAATAGAAATATCACTTTTCTCGTATTCGTTTTTTTCTTTTTTTCAGTTGTCACAGGAAATAAAAAGACGAATCGATTACGAATGGAAAAGACAAAAAAAAAAAAAAATAAAAATAAAAAATAAGAAATAAAATTTGTCACTCCATTTTATATGCAGCAGCATTCAGCGTATATATTTCTGAAAAAAAAAAAAAAAAAAAAAAAAAATGAAAAAAATAAAAAAAAAAATTTTAATAAATTTTTGATGAATATGTTATTACTTTGTAATTATTAATCTATAAAAATTAAGCAAAAAAAAAAAAAAAAAAAAGAAAAATTGCTAAATGAATGAATTGAATTTTCATATGAGAGTGTGAAAATTTGCTTTTTTTTTTTTTTGTAAGCTTAAAAATTTCAACTATAAATACTTCTTTCATTTATTATTTTTATTTTATCCTACTTAATTATTTCTCTTCGATTATTATCTTATTCTTATTGATTGCATATATTATGTTAGTAATTGTTATAAACTGCTAGATGATAATTAACACAAATTTCAATTGAATAATTCAATTTTGGAATTCATTGAGAATATAATTTTTGATACAGCATAATTTACCATGGAAAATTAACGCCGAAAAGTCATCAGACTTTGTGGAAGGCATGGGGTAATTGAGGTGTTTGGTGGTGCATAGCACTCGGATATATGCCCGCAAATGGTTCACCACCGATAGCGTACAATGCCGCCGCTTCAAATGCGACCGCTTGTTGAGCCGCAGCTGCTTGAGCTGCGGCTAAATTAAATCCACGTGTTACGCCGGCATTAGCTGCTACAGCAGCTGCAGCGCCATTTGTTACGTTACCAGGTGGTGATGTAGGCGCAAGCGGAGCGTATGATTGAAACCCGTTGAAAACTGCAATACAAAAAATAATAATAATAATGAATCATTTAAATTTATGTTTTATTATAATTTCATTTTTCTTTCTAAATTTTTTTAATGTATTATTTCCCAAAATATTCAAAAAAAAAAAAAATTTTTTTCTTTGAATTTCATTTCTTTAATAAAAATTTGAATCTAATAAATTGTTAATTCATAAAATATATTTCATTGCTCTAATATTATATAATTTTTATTATTGCTTTATAAAACCTAAGATATTATTACGAAAAATTAATTATATACAATTAATAAAAAACATACTTCCACCGCTATAAAACATACTTGTACCATATGTACCAAGTCGAGGCAGACAAGAAGCATAGGCTAAAATGAAATCACTAATTTACTAAAAAATTTCAAGCTAAAATAAAATCAAACATAAATCATTAAAATTTTTATACTTTTATTAAAAAGTAATATAATTTGAAGTAACTTTATTAAAGTACCAAGTAATTGCTCCGGTCCGAGACCATATAAACTACGAGCTGCAGCTGCTCTACTTTTATTCAGTTGAACCGGTAGCATCACCTGAAATTATAAAATATATTGGCTTCATGATATCAGTTAATGTTATAGAAATTGGAGGAAAATAATTAATTTAAGACAGGAAAAAAGTTATTGAGAACTGATATAAATAATTAAGAATTTCAATTCTAATTTAAATTTATAACTTAAACAATAGTGATGTATGCCAGATGATTCATAACTTAGAATATTTGATTAACTTAGCAAAAAAATATTTGTTTCAAATTAGCAAAAATAAAAAGATTTATCCCATACTTCTTCTCATTTTTCTTCTTTCGCATTTTTCTAATTTAAAAAATAAATAATTACTGCTTAACTCTCACTTAGCTTTTGAAATGGAATTAAAATGGTAAGCTTCTCTTCATATAACTACTGTTTATTTATTTCTTTATTTCCTCATTTATTTATTTAACTTATTTATTACCATCATTGTCACTATTATTATTATTATTTACTATTACAATATTATTATTATTATTATTATTATTATTATTAAATTCACAACAATAGCGAAATAATAGGAATTTGGAATTGAAAGCAAAAATTCGATTATGCTTACTTCTTTGGGCTGAGCTTTCTTGCATTCCACCATTTTACCGTTAATTTCATGAAAATGAATTTCACACACCTTATCACTGACATCGTCATTATCAAACGTTATAAAACCAAATCCTACAGAAAAAAGTTAAATTCATTTTCTGATGAAAAAAAAAAAGAAAACATGTTTAATTTGATTTCCATTTTTTATCATTTTAAATAAATTGCACTAAAATTTCAAAACCTACAATTATAAAAAAAAAAGTATTATTATACATTAACATCTTTTGCTCTTTTGTGATATAATATTTTGAATAAAAATAATAATGGAGAAGTTTAACCTCGATGGCGTTGAGTTGTTTTATCAAACATTAGCATTGCATCTTCGACCTTAAAAATTAAAGTTAACTTGAATTAAGTAAGAGAGCATTTTTTATAATATACGAAGCTAAATAGAAGAAATAATCACTGATAAATATATCATATCATTATTGATTACTACCAGAATGAAACTCTTTCAATTTTTAATTCAATTTTCCTATAGTAGAATTTTAATATATATTTTCAACATAGACAAGATATTACTTACCTTCCCATATTGTTCAAAATAATTCTTCATATCTTCCAAAGTTGAGGTTGCTGATAAGCCACCAATAAACACTTTTTTCGTTTTAATTATCATCTACAAAAAAATTTAACGTTAATTTGCATTTCGATTTTTAATTTTGTTTTTAATTAATTTCAAAAATAGAAAAAAAGCAAGCAGAAAATTCTCAATTTTTTTTAGTTTTTAACAAAATCTTACATTTAATGATTCAAAACTTTTCTCATCATCATTGACCCAATTAATGATAATGGCTTATTTGACAAATATTTATGAGCAACAATTTTAACCATGGATGATAAGAAATACTTAATCAATGAAGTTAATTAAAGCTTCAAACTGCATTGTCTTAATTGGCTAATAAGTTGCATCATTTTCTAAACTTACTTGAAATTTTAGAGAAAAATGTTCGATTAAATTCCGACATTATCAATTGTCAGACTATTTTACATTTCTTACTTTATTGAAATGTATGGGAAGATTATACAGTTTTAATTACAATGTCAAATATACTTTCACTTAATAGTTTTAAAATACTAAATCTGATAAATGCAAATTTTTTTAAATTAATTTATTTGTTGTTAATGCTAATTATTCTCAATATGACAAATATTTATCGCACATTGATTATAATTTGATTTTTGATCAACAATTAAACGACGAGATCAATGCAACACTGCAAATTTTACAATCAAAATTACTACTTACAACATATTTGTTGACCTTCACAACGATTACTATTGCATAATTGAATGATAATAAGATCGATAGGAGAATTTATGAATTTCTATGAAACACTTCAAAGCGATGAATTTGAGAGAAAAAAATTGAAAAATTCTATGAATTGAAATGAATTCATAAATGATATTAAATAAAAAAGGAGAAAAAAAAAAAAAATGAATATCAAAGGAAATGAACGAATTCAAATTTTAGAGAAAAATTTTATGTGCAAAAGGAAACAATCATAAAACAATGACGGATTAGAATTTTAAAATAATTTTAAACGAAGAAAAAAAAAAAACATTTTTGATTTTATGACATTTTATACTTGAACTATTTTACACAATTCATTTTAATTTTAATAGCAACTCTAGAAGATATACTTTTAAATGTATCATAATATATATTTATTAAAGATATATGAAAAGTTATGTATTTGGTTGAAAAATAAAAATGCATAAATAATTGAAAGTTTTAAAATTTATTAAATCATACTTTGATAAAGTCAATTTTACTTACTTATAGCTGACTATAAGAAAATTTTTGAATTTTAAAAAGAAAGAAGCAAAGACGATTTCAGCAATGGAAAATGTTAGAAGAAAATTGTGCAGTAGTAGCATTCTTTTGAGGATTTGATAGGATCAAAATTTTGCAATTCAAACTAATAATCCCAGATAAGAAATGATTTTTGAATTTGTTATTGTCATTGTCATTGCAAAGCAATAAAAAAGGAAAGAGAGAGAGAGAGGATAAAAAGGAGAGGGAGAGGGAAAGAGAAAAGATAGGGACAGGAAGAGAGAGAGAGAAGGAAAGAGATGGTAAAAAGAAAGCCTTTATAATTAATCATATTTTAAAATGTCTTCGTTTCATTTTTTCCTTTCTCAAATAAAATTCTTAAAATTTCCATCATTTTTAATCCCTCATTTTATTGTTGGAAAACGAGAGAAATTTTTTGAAAGCTTCTTAAGTTTGTAATAGAAAGTTTACTTATTGCTTCTTTTTTTTTTTTTTTTTTTTTTTAAATTTTTTAACTTTCTTTCTTTCTCCTATCTTTTCCATTTTCTCTTGCCACTCACTTTTTTATGACGTTTTAGAGGAAGTAAAGATGAGAAAAACATGTCATCAACCATTTTATATCTTTTCTTCTTTTACCTTTCAAAAAGTTAAAAAAAAAAATTAAAAAAATAGAAAATAAAAAATTTTTATCTGGTTTAATTTTATTTTTCCATTTTTTTGGAATTTAAAACTTTTAAAATAAAATAGTTACTTTCATTTTCAGCCTTTCTATCTCTTGAATATACTATGCTGGATTAGATTTTTAGTTAAATTTGAATTAATCTATAACAATCGTAATTATTTGAATTGTAGTATTGATTTATACATTATAATAAAAAAAAAAAAAATTAGTTCCACTAAAACAGTAAAAATAAAAATAAATCATCCAAAAAGAATTTTAATAAAATTTTAATAAAAATTAGATTCTGATATGTGTTAAGTTGAAAAAAAAAGGAAAGCAATGAAAGTGATAGTAAACTGACAGCGTAGAAGTAAAACTTTATTTTAAAAAAAAATTTTATAAAAGAATTTTATAAAAAATTACTGTATAAGAGATTACTGTAAAATTATCGTATACCATAACTATGGCATAAGGTGTTACGGTAAGTGAGCAGAGAACTAGAGGGAAAGAGATAACAATTAAAGGATTAACAACTATTGTAATGTGTTTTATGGTTATTAATGGACATTTAAAAGTGAAAAAAAAAAGCACAGAAATATTTTGATAAATGATTTCTCGAAGAAATCAATAATTAAAATACGAAAAGCTCAAAGTTCGATCTGATAAGACTAATAAAAAAAGATTTTGAAAAAAAAAATTTACAGATGATTGAATGTGATTGTTTAGATTATTTTATGGAATGATTGATGCATATAAGATGAGATTTAAATTTTGATTTTATCATAAAAGTATAACTTGCAATGACAAGTTTGTTTTTGAATTGCTTTAAACTTCCAAAAACTAATAAACAAATTCGTAATCTTAAAGCATTCCAGAATTCTTTTTTTTCAGCTTTTTTTTTATTAGGAAAACATAAGTTTTAGGGAAAATTATAAAATTTATGTCTTTTTCTTTCTTTCTTTCTTTTAACAAAAAAAGAAAAATAAATTGGATAAATTTACACTAACTTTTGGTTGTGCTTTCTTAGGAAATGCAACTTTTGGATCGATCTGAAAAAAAAAAGTGTTAAGGAAGATTTTCATTGGAAGGTATAAGATTAAAAGTACTATTTCAGAAAATAGATAATTCTTAAGAAAAAATATTGAAAAGAAAAAGAGAAAAGTTCCAATAAAGAAAGAATATAATAATAATATACTTTTCATTTTTATTTTTTTTATTTCTCAAATATTACTCATCAAAATTACTTTTATCATTAGCTTAATCTTATTCTGAAATGTGCAGTATTTTGTCCAAATGGAAATGGTTTTTATAATTTAGGAAAGAAAAAGAAAAAACGAAGGAAGAAATTTAGTTTATTGCTCAAATTATAACTTTTATTACCGTTTATATAATATCTTTTTTTTTTTTTTGTATGCATATATCTATTCATAAATATTATAGTTGTAAGTTTAAAATTTGATTTATGTAAAAATAAAGAAAAAAAAAAGAGAAAAACGAAATTGCTAACTTTTTTGCCATCAAGTTCATGTTGCTCTTGAGCTAACACTTTATCAACACTTGCCGGATCAGTAAATGTTATAAATCCAAAACCTCTGCAATTATAAGATAATTCAAAAAATGAAATTTATACGAGAAGGATTTTAAATAATCTTATAATAAATGTAGCAGAAAAAAAAAAAAAAAAAGGAAAATAGCAATAGAAAAAAATAAAAATTGAAAAAAAAGTTAATTAAAAAAATTGAAATAATAATTGCCTGGCCCTTTTTGTTGCTGGATCCCTCATTACCATACATTCATTTACTTCACCAAATTTACCAAAATAATCTCGTAATCCTTCTATAAAAGCAATTTTTTCTTCCTTTTTTCTTAAATATATGAATTAAAATTTTATAAAGAAATTTAAACTAATTTTATTATTTGAAAATAGCGCAGCATCAATTATTATACTATAGCATTTATATGTGAAAAAGTATTTATAATATATTTTAGAGAAAGAATCAAAAAGTTTAACTTTAGATATTTATTATAATTTTTAGAAGATTTTAATTTTTCAAAATTACTCCAAAATTTATTATAATTATTTCTTCACATATTTTTACATCTATAATACTTTTATTAATTATTATTACTCCTACTACCACTACTACTACTACTACTACAATTACTATTACTACTAATACTAATACTACCAATACTTCTACTACTACTATTACTTCTCAATTAAATACCCACAATCTAACTATTATTATTAAAGAGAAATAACCTAGTGCTTTGGACCATAGCTCAAATTATAACATTCTTCATCGAACGTTCTAATTATATAATTACATTCAAGCATTCAAATCCCATCGCTTATTTGGATTTGAATGTAATTATATAACTACAACCCTGCAATTTCAACGTAATTAAATATTTAGCAGTAATTAATTATATAAGTGAAATTCTTTTAGTATCTATAAAAAGTGATTGTTCCTTTACAACTATCTATCACTTAATTATTTCCAGCCGTTAATTTAACTCATCAATTACATATGAATATATTAGTTAAAAAAAAAAGTGACAACAATTAAAAAATACTATTACTTACCAGCTGTTGTTTGCCAACTAAGACCGCCAATAAACATTTTACTAAAATAAAGTAAAAATAAAATCATATTTTTTTTAATTATCATTTTTCTTTTTCAGAATAAACATTCCAAATTTTGCTAAGTTCGAAGGACAAATTGTTAACATAAAATGTATGCAATATTTATAATAGTAACAACAAAAAAAAAAAAAAGTTAATTAACAAAGCTAACACTGTCTTTCTTATCTGACACAAACCAAATAATTTATAAAAAAAAAAAAAAAAAAAAAAAAAAAACAAACAAATATGAATAACTGTTAGAATTTCACACTAAAAAGTATTAGACTAGTGAATGATTGATACTTATTCCGGTTTTCAAATATCATCTTTCCTATTTATTCTAGCACTAATATCAACATTCTAAAATACATCTTTCCATTCAATTAAAAATTTTTAAAAAATAAAAAAAAAAAAACCCGACGAGAAAAATTTACTCTAAATATGCTCTATTTCATTCTATAATAAACTAATCCTTTGTCCAAAGAGATAATCATATAAACGAATGGGAAATAAAAGTTTTATTCTTCAAATTTATAAAATGATTTGTTAGAAATATATTAAAAAGGCGCTTTTGTCGTTCATTTATTTACAAAATTGTAAAAATTTTTAAAAAAAAAATGATAGAAAAAAGTAATAGTTTCTTTTTTTTTTTTTTTTTTTTCAAGAAAAATTTAATCAAATGAAAAAAAAAAAAAAAAAGAAAAGCAAATGCTAAAAGATAAAAATATTACTTACCCGGGATCATTCGAACTGGTACCATCCTCTGAACTTGGACTTTGTTGCGTCACTTCATTATCATTTACATTACTATCAGATGCATCCATCACTATCGTTTTTCTTTCTACTTTACTTTGAGCTATTCTCTCTCTTTCTCTCTTTTAGTAAAATTATATTTCAAATATACTACTTTATTACTAAGCACTGGCCGTAATTTGCCCTTTTAAGGCCTGCTAAGCTAAGCAAAAATGAATAATTATTGCAGTAATGAAATTAATAGATTGAATAAGTGATAAAAATATGAATTATTGTTGAAATGTTGAATACGATTGTATTAATTCCAATACAGTAAAATAGAATTAGAATTAGCAAATCAATAATCGATTTAATTGACAATTCAGTTTTTCGTCCTTCTTTTTTTTTTTCTTCAGTATTTCTCTCTCTGTCCCTCTCTCTCTTTTTTTTTACCTCTTTTTTTTTTTTTTTTGTCTTCACAAATTACACGAAATTCTTTTTGCAGTTCCAAATGAAATTGCAAAGAAAAAAAAATTTTTCTCTTTTTATTTTTTTTTTTTGTGTTGATATCTGAAACACAGAGAATAATGAGAAAGTGAGAAATTGAAAAATTGAGCGAAGTTTTTAGAAGCTTTTCACTTTCATTAATAACATAATAATATTACGCATAGCATAACTTATTTAATTTAATAATTCATTATTTAGAAGAGTTTTATGTGCAAATACGTAATAACAAATTACAACTTTCTTTTTTTTTTTTTTTTTTTTTCTAATTCGCTAATTCCCTTTTAAAATAAAAATAAAAACAAAAGAACAAAGAAAAAAAAGAGAAAAAAAAGCCATTTATTTTCATTGAAACATTAAAACATTGAAATTTGATGAAATTTCAAAACATCGCTAAATTGTAAATAAAACGTCATTGCAAGCTCTTTTATCTTTCATCAAATTTCCGCCCGTATAATTTTTATGAATGACATTTTCCACTTATTTTCTTCATCCTTCACATAAATTATTACTCTTTTCATTTAAATATTTACCGCACTTACTTATTCTCTGCAAAAATTAATTTCATGCAGTTTTATTTACATTATTAATATAAATGTTAAATTTAAAAAGTCATAAAAAAAAAAAAAAAAAACCTGTGAAATGAATTTAAAAAAAGTGTGGAAAGAAATGTTTAATGAAAAAAGCATTTTTTTTTATCATAAAATTAACAAACAATTAATGATATACTGATATGTAAATGATTATGATAATAAATATGAGCAGACATTTTTGTTTGTTTGTCAATTGTTAACTTTTTAATGAAAAAAATCAAACAACACTTGTCTTCCACGTATCAAATATAAATCATACTTTTGAAACAAAGCGTAAAAAAGAAATTCAATTAAATTTTCTTCTTTAAAAATTGAAATAATTAGTAACAAAAAAAAAAGAAAAAAAAAGGAAAAAATGATAACAAAAGATTGTGTTTTAGCTCTGGAAATATTTAATTTATTTTAAGAGCTTGGGAATATAAATTTGTTTAGAAGGATAAAATAATGTGAAGAAATAAACGGGCTAAAAAGATGAGAAAAGAGGAAGTCAACATTTAGGAAGATAACAAATATTAATATTGACAAAAATTATATTCTTCTCTTCTCTATGAATGATAGCACTTTTCAATAACAGCAGCGACAACAATAACAACAACTGCAATAACAACAACAATATCAAAAACAACAACAACAACAACAATAACAACAACAAATGACAAATAACACAGTAAAATATAAGATCAATCCTCATTAATTTCGATAATTCTCAACAAAAAAAAAAAAAAAAAAAAAAAATAAACTTTTAAAAAAGCATAATGACAGATTGTAAAGATGGATAATAACAAAATCAAATATACGATTATATTTAAGTCACACTGTAAAAGGTTTCTTTCCTTCTTTTTTTGAATATTTAAATATTACGGATTAAAATTGAAATAAACTGCTATAATTAATTTGAAAAAAAAGTTAATATTAACTGAAATGGATAAATGGAAAGGATTAGAAAAATTAATATCAACTTGAATAAGAAGAAAAAGAAATAATTTGTTGTATCACTTAAATAATACTTTAGTTATATATTCTAGCTAATTATAAGTAAGCTTACATCAATCAATTACTTAACTAATTAATCAGTCAGCTGAATTCTCTCATCTCAATTTATTATTCGAATATCACTGATTAAAAATAATTTCATATTATAATTGATTAGTTGATGAAAATATTTAACCATAGCATAAATTACTAAATTATTAATTTTCTTATTGATTTATTTATAGTCTTTCTATAAATAAAGCATTTATTTCTTTCATATTTAATTTCTGAATTTTTGAACATATATATGATTTTCTTCTTTTTTGATTATACTTTTTCAATTTTTTATTTCCTTGAAAAAAAAAAAAAAAAAAAAAAAGATCCACTAAAAAGAATTAGTCAATTTTAAGTAAGAATGTTTAGTTTGAATTTAAAATATTCAGATTTATATGGATTTAAGTAATTAATTGTAAATGTGAAAATGAAATTTGACCTAAGACATATGTAATTAATTATTCGACCTAAAATATTCAAATTATATAAAGTGAAAATTATGGATAAGTAAAGGAAGTGTTTTGAAAAGTTGAAAGTTAACTAATAAATAGCTGTGGTTGATATGTGGTGAATGTATAAATGAGCGTGTGTGTGTGTGTGTATGTGTATGTATGTATGTATGTGTGTGTGTGTGTGTGTGTGTGTGTGTGTATGTATTTCTATGTACGTCCGAGTATGCATTTATGTTTTTGAAAATTTAAAAAAAAAAATTTTTTTTTAGCAAAATTCTTGAAGCTAAAATTGATTGACGTAGCTGTTTCTCTCTCTCCCTCTCTCTCTCTCTCCCTCCATCTCTCTCTCTCTCTCTTTCTTTCTTTCTTACCATTTCATGTCTCTGTTATAGACTATTCTCTTATACTTTTATGTATAATAATACATCATTCACAAGTTTAACATCAGATATTTTAGTTGTTAAAATTTCTCTTTCAAGATTTCAACCTCGTACTCTTGTTATTTATCATATCATATCACATCTTATCTATCCATATAGATAAGATAAACAGAAATAGATATATGATATCGTTAAATTGCTAGAGAAACTGATAATAATCAAAGTATGTATATGTTAATTTGATTACGAGCAAAAAAATTTTTAAATTTTATAATTCATACAATTTGTTAGAAAATAATTAATTCCAATCTTTTTTTCTCTCTTTCTCTCTCTCTCTTTGCTTCAAATTATCATTTTTTTTAAAAAAAAAAAAAGAAATGAAAAGAAAGGGAAAAAAAACTCGATGAATTGAATGTACACATTTTAGTTGCTATATATCATTAGAGCATGACAAAATGATACATTTAGAAAAGAGTTAAACTATACTAATTTATCTCTGACATTTCATTCAAATCATCGAAAATATATTTTAAAAAAGGAAAAGAAAAGAGAGAGATTGATAATAATGATAATGATAATGCTGATAATGATGATATTTCCATATGATAATAATATGATAAACTTAAATGATTAATTAACTGCTGAAATTACAAAAAATAAAAAAAAAAATTGGCTAAGAAATAATGATATCATTCTTAAATATAAATTAATCGATAACATTAATATTATATTAGTATTGTTATAGTTCAAAGATTTCATGATATAATTGAATAGTTTTGTAATTTTTATTATTTAAAACTTTACACAAAAGAAAAAAAAAAGATTAATCACATTTTGACATTTATATTTAAACACAAACAGAAAAAGAAAGAATTGTGTAAGTGTAAGGTGGCATTATTATTATTATTATTATTATTATTATTATTATTATTATTATTATTATTATTATCATAATTATCAACTATCATTCTTATTATAAATTATTATTATTGTTATTATCATTTTATTATTATTATTATTTGATTTTAATATAATTTATATATATATTTGGGAATTACGGAGAATAGTGTTTACTTGATAAGATAGATGATATTGTTTGTGCCTTCTGTTCAATGTGACAATGAGGTGAATAGTAATAGATAAAATTTAAAGCAGATGGAAGTGATGAACTATGCTGAAGGTCATCGTGTGCTACTATCTGCTGTTGCGGGCATTTCTGAACATGATTTAGACGAAAGATGGGAATAGCGTATGTAAGGGAAGGAAAGGGGAACTCTACCCACTTAGAAAGAATGAAAAGAGTTATACGGGCAAATATGCTTCCCATGTTTTTAACATCATACAAAGGTATATATCAAAACAGGTATATAGTTCAATGACTTCATATCATACATAAATTTATTTATTGAAATTTAAAATATTAATAAAAGCTAAAAATATTTTTGCTTTATCATTTACAAATGATTAATATAATAATATTGAATTGAATTAATTAAACTTTAATTGATTTAAAAAAAAGCACAAATTATAATGTTTAGAGGATAAACAGATATTTGACATACGATCAATTCGATAGAAATGGAATGATATTATTTCAGGTGTGCTAGTAAACAGTAATCAGAACAAATAGTTCCGTTCAATAGGGAAAAAAAAAAAAAAACTTTATAAAAACCGGTCTGCTAGATGTCAAAAGAATACATCAGCTTCACATATATATATATGTGTGTATGATTACAGCAGGAAAGGTATTATGTAAAAATGTATGTAAACGGTAAAAGTTTCGGAATGCTTAAACGGAAAAAGCACAGAAATGAGACAAACCTATCCATACATTTGTTTGTTTATTTATTTATTTACTTATTTATTTATGACAAAGTTGTTAACATTGCTATCCGTTTCTATCATTATCAACAATTTTTTGCTTTTTCAATCACCTCAATCAATCAGTCAATTGATAATTATTTGCATTATGTACGATCCTTCCAGTTTTTGATCGGTATCATTAATAATTTGTCTATATGTATCACTTTAACGTACGTATGCATATAATAATGATATTGAATAATTTACTCACTTTCAATACAATACTTTGATGATTCATAATAAATACGTGTACGATCACTTATTCATATGTAAACTGATGTTATACATAAGAAAGCTTTTTATCATATATTTTAGGTTAATGATTAATTAATGATTAAAACGAAAAGAAAACCTTCAAAAAAAAAAAAAAAAAAAAAAAAAAGGAAAGAAAAAAAATAGATAGAAATGTCATCATCGTTGTCATCTTTGGTTTTATTTTGTTTTGTTTTAATAAATTTTATCTAAATAATGACAATAAAACGGATAATATTCATTTCGCATTGATATAATTTTAAAATTTAACAACTATTAATTTAATTTGTTACGTCACATTACGAAAATATTTTCAATTTTTTATTTTTTTTTTTATCTTATCATTTCGAAATATAGTTTCTTTTTTCTGAAAAAAAAAAAGAGGAAATGTAATCAATGATAAATTTATTTTCACTAATAGCCATCATCATTTGAAATTAAAATAATTGAGTGATAAAAAAAGGCAAGAATTAAATAAATGTTTAAGATGTGATAGAAAATGAAAAAAAAAAAAAAGTTCATTTGATGAATAACTTTTGGTGAGTTTAACAGAAAGGTACTTTTGATTTTCGAAACAAAACGATGACTTCAACATGCAATGACACAATCAAATTTAAGTTCAACTTAACATTTCTAACTAAAAATTTTATTTATTTGACATTTTTTTTTAAAAAAAAAAGAAGGACGCCCACATATGTATGTATGTGTAAGCTAAATTTTCAATTTTTTTTTTTTATAATAATAAAAAAAATGTTAATAATTATTATATTTAAAGTAATAAATGCAACAACAACAAAAAAAAAAAAAAAAAATTCACTCTTATTTAAAAAAACAAAAAAAAAGTTTTCTTTTCTTTCAATGATATTATACTAAAATATGCATAAATATGAGCAAAGATTGACGTAGAACATAGCTGACAATAAAAAATGAACAAAATGTCAATTACAGGCTTAAATCATTCATTTGCTTTAGAGGCAAACAAATATGCAATCGTTAGTTTCAGCTTTTTCTGTTTTTTTTTTTTTTTTTTTCCGTTTCTTTTAAGAAATGAAATCACACGGATGAAATTCCCATGCGGATGGCTTACTTATACACTCGACACGCGTGCAGCAGTATACCAAAGTTTTTTTTTTTTTTTAACTTCCGTAAAAAATGAAAAAACATTTCTTTGTCATTACAATTATATTTAAAAAATAATATTAATTATTAAATAAAATTATAAAAAATTCCAATTTTAATTAATATGATCAGTAGTGATATATAAAATACATTTGAAAATTTTTTGTTGTAAATTTTAAAAAAAAAAAAAAAAAGAATGAAATTTTATGAAATAATATAAACTCTTATATGTAACAAATAAATAAGGAAAAGGAAAATGAATTGCAAATAATTTTTCAATATTTTTCAACTAAAATATTTTTTATTGATATTTTTATGGAAAATAATTTTTATTAAATTTTATAATTTAAAAGAAAATATATAGATATACATATATTCAATTACTAAACATATATTGCTATTTGTCACATTTAAAATGAAATGAAAAAAAAGACCTTAAGAGATAGGCCCCTTTTAATTGTCATCAAAGAGAAACATCTGCTGGTGGTTCAGATGGTAAGAGACGAGGGAGGGTAAAAGGGGATGAAAATACGTGGTGGATGAAATTAGTTGCGGGCGGGGTTGTCGACTGATGCGGGTACTTACTTCCTCCTTTTCCGCCTCCTCCTCTTCCTCAATTGCTCTCTCATTCTTTTGAAATACAAATCGATCGCAATTTATTTCCTACGTCACATACTTATTATAATGTTTGCAAATTGTAATATAACTTTTTAAATTCATTAAAATAAAAAAAAAAAAAATGAAAAAAATCTTTTTTTTTTTTCTTTGTTGAAATTAAAATGATTTTAATTAATTTAAGCTAGCTATTATTGATTTATTAACACCTTCTTTTCTAATTTTAAAATAATGTGTTAATAAAAAGTATTCATGTAATAGTTGTTTCACTAATGCTTAATAATAAAATTGTATCTATTAGAGTTCTGATTGAGTTAATTAATTTTTTTTTTTTTTTTGCAATTAATTTATCGTTGAGATTGAAATATGAGGGAAAAGTCTGAAATAAAACTTTAAATAAAAGTAATTTAAAAAAAAAAAAAAAAAAAGTAAAATGAGTAGATAATTGAAAGATGGTTGAGATATAGAAGAAGAAGAAGAAGGAAATTAATATTTAATGTTGCAAATAGTTTACTTACCTACTTACATTTACTTACCTATTAATGTAGTAAGTTTTAAAGTATGAAATAACAATTACTAATAATTTTATATATCTCCTTGAACTTAAAAAAGCAACAAAAAAGAGTAATTTATTGAAATTAATAGCAATGTAACATTCATCTAATCATTATTGATTTAAAGAGTGTCTCGAAAATTAACATTCGATCATAGTGATGCATGGTGACAGTCCACTAGAGACGAGTATGTTTGCTCGTTTGTTTGCTTGATGGATAAGTAGAGGGACAGCCAGCAGGTAGTGTATGTATGTATGTGTATGTATGTGTGTGTGTGTGTGTATGTGTATGTAAGTATGTGTGTGTGTGTGTGTGTGTATGTTGTGACCTTGAGCAAATTGACATTGAATTCGAGAGATACGGATGGCAGTTGTTATTATTCCATTGCATTTTTATAGTTTCTCCAAATAGATGATATCTTAAGCTTATCGATAGAGACAGCAACA